GGGGGGGGGTCAATTTGCCCCCCCCCCCAGCATATCCTGGTTTTCAAGTACCCCAGTAGAGATAGGGTTAAAAAGTATGTGCCGACAAAAATGACCAGAAGAGAAAAGGCAAAAAAAAATATGTTTTTTATGTAAAATTGTGATTGTAAGTTAAAATTCTCTTGGATAAGGACCGAACCGTTCAATCAGCGTGAGTTGCAAGTATTAGGAAATCTGAATTTGTGGCGAATAATCTGTTTTTTAAACTTTCTCTCCATATTACTATTTTTTTCGTCACTGCAAGATAAAAAACCTCTAAAAGTGTTAAAGGAAGAAACATTAAAAACTACTCAGTGGTGTAGAAGTTTACTAGTGTTTAATAATATAAAGAAGAAAACAGTTAAGGACCACTTTAAACACAAATTCATCTAGAAATACTCGAAACAAATCAAAACCCCTCAAACAGCTGGTTTAAGATAAAAATACTATGAATAACAATCTCATTTTTTCGTACAGACACGAAATAATCAAACAAATTAAAATTTGTAATTATCATTGATTAAATGCACACAAAATTATGTTTTATACTTGAACTTATATTATTTTTATGAATATACAGTGTGGGATACAAAAAAAACGAAATTAGCGTAGTTTATCAGACACAACAATAAATTGTTTTATGCAGGGTTCATATTTAATTTGAAAAATTATTTAGCTAAAAAAAATTAAAACTGTTTTGGGGTCATAGAAAAAAAACAACGAAAGTTATTTCCTCGATAAGTCATCAGTAGAAATTCATATTATTTACAAAAACTATTGACTAGCCTTGTACTTAATATTCTAGCTGGACTCCAGCAACCACTGCTTTGTACCTAATATTCTAGCTGGGCTCCATCAACCACTGGCTTGTACATGCTATTCTAGCTGGACTCCAACAACCACTGCCTTGTACCTGATATTCTAGCTGGACTCCAGCAACCACATGCCTTGTATCAGATATTCTAGCTGGACTCCAACAACTACTGCCTTGTACCTCATAATCTAGCTGGACTCCAGCAACCACGTGCCTTGTATCAGATATTCTAGCTGGACTCCAGCACCACTGGTCAGTCGTGTACCTGATATTTTAGCTGGAATCCAGCAACCACATGCCTTGTACCTGATATTCTAGCTGGACTCCAGCAACCACTGGTCAGCTGTGTACCTGATATTCTAGCTGGACTCCAGCAACCACATGCCTTGTACCTGATATTCTAGCTGGACTCCAGCAACCACTGGTCAGCTGTGTTCCTGATATTCTAGCTGGACTCCAGCAACCACATGCCTTTTACCTGATATTCTAGTTGGACTCCAGCAACTACATGCCTTGTACCTGATATTCTAGCTGGACTCCAGCAACCACTGGTCAGCCTTGTACCTGATATTCTAGCTGGACTCCAGCAACCACCAGTGAGCCTAGCAGAACTTGGTTTCATAGTAAATATATTGCTTTCTTGAAGATCTTCACACCATATCTGAATAAGGCTGGGTCTAACACATATACATGGAGTTCTAACTGATATGAATTAAAAGTCAGAAAGCCTTCACACTCAACCAAATCTAATCCAGGAAAGGGAAAGTCCATGTGCAGAGGCGTATTCAGGAGGTGAAGGGCTATGGGGGCTAAGCCCCCCCTGGACCAGTGAAATATATTGATAAATAAAACACACGGGTTTGTAAATCATGAACAATGACAAGTTTTTAGAAACTTTTATACTATTAACTTCATTAAATTTCAAGGAAAAAATAATTTTCCAACAAAAAAATAAAATATTATAATTTATAGTTCAAAAGTAAAAGTTTACCTTGGCTGTGTTATCCCCTATGGTCAGAAAGTTTTTTGGATAAAAGGGGTTCGTCTCAACATGCATTATGTTACTAGTAAACATATAAAGGATTTGTTATGATAATTTTTGGATAAAAGGGGTTCGTCTCAACATGCATTATATTACTAGTAAACATATAAAGGATTTGTTATGATAATTTTTGGATAAAAGGGTTCGTCTCAACATGCATTATATTACTAGTAAACATATAAAGGATTTGTTATGATAATTTTTGGATAAAAGGGGTTCGTCTCATTATGCATTATGTTACTAGTAAACAAATAAAGGATTTGTTATGATAATTTTTGGATAAAAGGGGTTAGTCTCAACATGCATTATATTACTAGTAAACATATAAAGGATTTGTTATGTTAATTTTTGGATAAAAGGGGTTCGTCTCAACATGCATTATATTACTAGTAAACATATAAAGGATTTGTTATGATAATTTTTGGATAAAACGGGTTCGTCTCAACATGCATTATGTTGCTAGTAAACATTTAAAAGATTTGTTATGATAATTTTTTTTCTATATTTTTGTTTTCTTAAAATCTGTGATACCCTTCTTTTTGGTAATAATCTTAGCTTTCTGATGTTAATCTTTCTTGGAACCCCTTTTTTACATTTTTAAACAAATAAAAAGACAATTTTTTTCATATTTTTCTGATTTCAGAGGAGGATTTATTACATTCACAAAATTGAAAAAATTTTAATTTTTGTTTTGGTTTTTGGTTTTTGGTCATTAAAGTAATTACATTAAAAATATGAGATCTTTCCGCAAACTTTGATTTTTAGAACCCTATATCTTTGCAACCTGATTTTTAGAACCCTTTATCTTTGCAACCTGATTTTTAGAACCCTATTTTTTTGCAACCTGATTTTTAGAACCCTATATCTTTGCAACCTGATTTTTAGAACCCTATATCTTTGCAACCTGATTTTTAGAAGCCTATATCTTTGCAACCTGATTTTTAGAAGCCTATATCTTTGCAACCTAATGTCATAGACCTACGATACTTTAAACTTTCAATTCTGTTATTTCAAATAGTTTTATTAAATTTTATTGAAAAATTAAAGTTTGTTGCATGAATCCAATTATCTTGGGCCTTAGATGTTTTGATGATAATTCACTTGCATAAGTTGTAAGGGCAAAACAAAAAAACTAAATTTTAGTTTTCAGATAAATTTTTACCTATGTTGACAATTTTCAAAGGAATTAAGAATTCTGCTGTTCGTTCCTAATTTCGGATTCATTCTGCAGGAAAACACACTACCCTTAAATGTATAAATTTGTACATTTACAATTAATGTTTATTTGGCCTTGTTAATGTTTGCCTATAATAAACTTTAAATCTTGCATACAAGAATTTAAGAATTGTAAAATTTTGTAAATAAAAGTTGTTATTACATTTTTTAACAATTAAAAAGGCTTATAGAGTTTGAATATTTTCTTATAAAAATCTGTGTAACCTCATGGAGTAAATAAAGTAGGTTTTAGTTCCACATTTTTGGGAAATATATATATATTAAGTTTTAACGACACAATAATCATCAACGCCAATATAAAAAATGTAAAAAATTTACAGGAAAATAAACAAAACAAAACCCTTTTTTTGTCTATTGAAGAAATTAAATTCTACAAATGGTAAGTGAAAAAAATTAACCTGTTCAGTCCCTAGCAAAAACTTTGCTGGTATCAATGGATCATAGGAGATACACGATACCCCCTGGTTAATTAAGTCCCAACACTCTTGACATTTTGAAATACAATCCGATAAAGAAAGTCAAAACCGTTCTAATTACTTTTTTTTACGGTGATAGATACGGTGCTAGGATGGTTTAAAAAATTAAAACGTAAGTCGATTTCACAAACTCAAGAAGTTGAAACAGTTTTCATTCTACTAAAGGGAGTGACCGGCTATGTATGGTAGTTGAACTCAGTATGCAGTTTTGTGGACAAATTCTTCAGGATTCATTTGAGACATAAAACTTTTGATCGCAGAGTCGACTTTTAAAATCATCTTTTCTTGTGGTTCTCAAACAGTATCGTCCGAAAAGATGAGTTTGAAAGTCGAGTTTGCGATCAAACTCAGTGATTACACATCCTAGAAACGTTTTATACGTCGAGTTTCGAATGAATCCTAAAGAATTTATCCACAATACTGCATACTCAGTTCAACTACCATACATAGCCGGTCACTCCCTTTAAAGCAAACACAAAAGTGGTCGTCATGGTGAAAATAAATCAGCCCTCCCCCTTCCCCCACAAAGGATTTAGAGTTAGACAATAATGTTTCATATTGTTTAAAGTAATCTTATAGAAAATACAGGAAAAATATGTTTTAAAAGTCTGGAGAGGGTGAGACTTCCTCGTTTTTTTCATTTGAATATTCTTTCTCAGGGAGAATCGGTAAAAACTGATCTGAAAAAAAATTGCATGAAAACAATTGAAAACTGCGGAATGAATGTTGTCTTGGTCATATTACTCTTGTGCAATGTCGCTTAGAATATTATAAACTGATAAGTTTGAATATATGCACTGCAGTACTGTGTCCATCTATAGATGCCATTTACTTATCGAGAGATGACATCGCGTCATTAAAACTGAAAATATTCAAAATAACGAAATATAAAAATGTCTATTAATTGGATAAAACGTATTTACATATGCATATACCCAAGCGCGTAGTGGAGGTTTAGCCTAGGGGGGTGCACTTTTGGCGCCCCCTTAAAAAACCAGTATGAAGAAATAAAGTTTAAAATCTATATTAATCCACCTGAAGGCTGACAATTAGTCATTAGACCAAAATTACCAATAATTTTAAATGAAACTCCGCGGAATAAAAATATTAAAAGATTAAGGTAAAAGAAAGAATTTGATAAATAATCATAAAATGGACAAATTGTGACATTGTCTATTGATAAGAAAACTAAAAAATCTGAATATATATGTAAGTTTACTGTTTAATGAATTAGAGCCTGCCTCTGGCTCTAGGGTGGGGGTCCTAGGGGGGTGCCCCCTATCCACTACACGCCAGCATATACCTGTTGGGATTCCTGGAACCCTGATATCCCACCATTTTACGGTCCCATCAGCTGATCCAGTGAAACATTCAAAACCAGTTTTTCCAAACCAAATGAAGCTATTTACAGCCTGTGTATGACTGCTTTCAAACTAAAAGTATGAATATGAAAGAAAAATATTTTCAAACATAAAATTCTAAAGATGAAATATTTATTTAAGTATTATAAATTGAATATAAATATAAATTGAAAAAGATTTGTTTGTTTGAATTTTATATAGATTTTATTGATTAATTGAAAACTATCAATATTGAACATACATGTTGTTTTTTACTTTAAAAACATTTTATAATAATAATATTAGTTATATAGCGATTTATTTTCAGTTTCAGATATTTTTACAAATTTTTAACATTCTGTCTCATTTTATTTTAAATATTGAATTATTAAATTGAAATAAAAATAAAATTTTAGATTTTAGTTTAAGAATTTTATATTTCTAATAATATTACCGGAGTTTGACCAACAGGGATTCCTCCAATTCTCTCATCCCACCAACAAACCTTACCTCTTAAATCAGTCATCGTTAAACAATATTAAACAATTACACCCCCCCCCCCCATCGTGATAGGATTAAAAATCTGGCATTGTTAACGATCTATAATTATTAACGATCAGAATATATTGTAATTTAGCAACAATTGTTAATAATCAACTAATGTCAACAATCAAGCATTGTTAATGATGGAGTGTTGTTACCGTTTTTATTGTTAACAATTAACTTAAAGTGTTAAAAATCAACCACTGTTGACGATCAATCATCTTTAACAATCAACTATTGTTTACGATCAACAGATGTATAACAATTAACTAATGTCAACAACCAACCATCAGTAATGATCAAATATGTTTAACGAGTTTCTTGTTACCGATCCATTATTATTAGCCATTAATTATCGTTAAAACCCAAAAATTGTTGACGAGCGGATTTATAACAATTATCTTTTGTTAATAAACAAGAATTGTTAATGATCAATCTACAGCAATCTAGCAATGTTAACGAGCAACTATTGCATGTTAACGATCAACTAATATCAACAATCAAGCATTGATAATGATGAAGTATTGTTAACGTGCTTATTGCCAACGATCAATCATTTTTAAGAATTAACTTATAGTGTTAAAAATCAACCACGGTTAGCGATCAATCATCTTTAACCATCCACTAATGTTAACAGTCAACTATTATTTAACATTCAACTAAGGTCAAACAATCAACAAATAGTAATAATAAAAAATTGTTAACGAGTTTATTGTTCATGATCGACAATTGTTAGCAATCAATTATTGTTAAAAATCAACCATTGTCAACAATCAACTATTGTTAACAATCAACTATTGTTAACAATTAACTATTGTTAACAATCAACTATTGTTAACAATCAACTATTGTTAACTATTGTTAACAATCAACTATTGTTAACAATCAACTATTGTTATCAATCAACTATTGTTAACAATCAACTATTGTTAACAATCAACTATTGTTAAAAATCAACTATTGTTAACAACCAACCATTGTTAACAATCAACTATCGTTAACAATTAACTAATTTCAACAATTAACAATAGAAAAGGATTAATTATTGTTAACGTGTTTATTGTTAACAATCTACTAATGTCACACTTCATAAACAATTGTTAACCATCAACCTAAGTGTTAGTGATCAATCAACTACCAATATATAAACCAACCATCTGCATTGTTGAGATAAATCAGATAAATCAATAGTTTTCAAATCAAGAACCTCCCCTGCCAATATATGCAGGCCATTTTTCAAAAAGAAGAAATAAAAATTTACAAAAAGTTTTCTAGAGTTCTGTTACGCGAGCCATGCTGCGTGTAGAAAGTCTGCTTGTCACCCCTGGGTATTTCTGAGTTCTCCCTGAAGATCTGTACGGAATGTATTGTGAAAGAACTAGTTTAGGAACTGTTTACAGACCGACTGCGCAGACGCAAGATTTCTCGCGGAGTAGTAAATAATTTATATCAGTATATGTTTATTCGTTTTGCAAGTATTAGCCGTGTTCAGAATTCTGGGATCACTGTGGTAACTATTTTATATATATTTATGCTTATCGGTTTGATTATAGTATGATTGATATTTATATACATGTTTTTTGGTTCCTAGCCACAGTTTTTTAATGCCTGAGTGAATTATTTGTTGTAGTTGTATGATTTGTCACTCAAAGCTTTTTCTGTGGGTTTATTAAACTTATTTAGATTGAAGGCTCAGAGAAATAAACGTTCGGAACCTTACTATCATCCTTTTTATTATGAAGAGCGTTGAGAGAAGGAAGTCTTAAAATCCAGTCCTGAGAAATACCACACGGTATATATATTAGGTCTTTAGGGAAATCGCTAAGTAGCGAAACAAGTTCTTATCTTATTGTTTTATATTCTAACCTATAGCAACCTCCACCAACCAAGTGTGGAGTTTTTGAGCTGTAATCAATTTGACAAAGCTGCCCGGGGACCTTTAAAGTTACCTAAATTAAAAACCAAAAGTAAACACATGCAGCTTTAAATTAATTTTACAGATTTTTAGTTTTTTTTTATACGTTAATATTTTTCTATAACTTTTTATGCTTATTTAGAATGGCATTCTTTACAATATCGGGTTGCAAAGATAGAGGATAGAGGATTCAAAAATCAAAGTTTTCGACAAGAACGGATATCTTTGGTTGCAGTTACTAACAGTCAACATTTAAAAAGAAAACCTGAAAATGTTTCTATTTTTAAATGTTGTAAATTGATCAATCAAATCAGGAAAATATTCAAAATATTGTGATGTCATTATTTTAAATGTAAAATGGCTTTTTTTAAAAATATTTAGGGAATCATTTTAGCACACTTTTTTTACTGAATAACTGGGCTCTCAGCCGATATTTATTATTTGTCATTTTTTATCATGATATATGATCAAACATACCCAACCAGTGTCCGAGTTTAATGAATTTGAGCCGCGGCTAAAATCTGCCAAAAACCGGTTTTAATTGAGCGTCGGCTATAATCTAGAAAAATTGAATACAGTTTTAAGTGGAACCAACCATATTTGAACCGCGCCTTAAATTTAAGCCGCAGCTCAAATTCTTTAAATTCGGCCTCGGGATATAGGGGTAACCTTTAAATGTAAGATTTAAATTTAAAACAACATAAAAAAACTTGTTGTGCACTAAAAGTTAAACAAGGAAAGCTAATTGCGAAATTACTTTTAAAAATGTCAAACTAATGAATTTAACTTTAAGAAATTAATAAATTGTATTTGATTTTTTAATTCAAATTAGACACAAAATCAGATTTTGTTCATCCCTATATCATTGCAACCTGATTGTGAACCTGTGATATTTCAAACTTCCAGATTATTTAATCTGAATGCTGATTAATATGTGAAGTTTGGAATAATGTCGGAATAAATACAAAGATAAGGGGATTAGAAAATCATGAGTTTGTGGCAAAAACTTAGTTTTAGAGACAGAATTAAAAAAAATATATATAGATATAAAGTTGCCTACCACTGGTTCAGTATTTTCCTCCAAATCAAACAAATATGCATCTCTAAACACATAATTGTGCATTTATATTTAAATGGTAAGAAATTGATGTCTTTCATTCCACACATTAAAAAAATTAAAATGAGATAAAAATAAATTTCTTACAAAAGAAATGAACTAACTTTACGTTTGTTTGCTCGGATTGGTAAAAGTATAAAATACGTAAATATACTTGTATAATTCCCATCAACACTTTACAACAATATTTACTTTGCTCGTCTGTTTGGGTGTCTGTATCCAATAAACGTTCCAGCGGCTAAACTGATCGGTTTAGCCGGTTTGCCGCATTGTCATAACAATGGTAAATTTTGTCAACGTTTCTTATATTAAAAATGCGCCATTTTGGTCGTAAAAGTCGCAAAATTTTGTTATTTGTTAGATCACGATGTAAAATGGTGATTGTTAAAAAGCTATAACTGTTACAAAAAAATATTTTGTTATTTAAATTATGCAAAAATATACTGGATTTGTAGTTAAATTCCTGTTTGATAAAAAAATAATCCCTTTTTAAAAGGAACTTAAATATTTTAGAAATATAACATTTTAGAATAATCTGCAAATAATCTGAGGAGAGTACTAGGAAAATCTTGTAAATTCAATATTTGAGAAAATACCAAGATTTAACAAAATATTTTGTGAGAATTGAACCAACATATTTTATTTTACAATTTATCCATCTTAAGATATTTCATTTTCTACAGTTTCTTAAATATTACAAATTGGAATTATGGTTTGTCACAAATATGACAACTTTAATAAAAAATCATTGTTGTTCAACAGAGTTCAACATTATCTAAGGTCTACGACATTGGTTTGCAAAGATATAGGAATTAGAATATATATTAGAGGGGAACTTACTAGAAAAAAGTGTAAAACGGCCATTTTGTTGTACTGTTTCCATACTGCAGGTGTACTATAGATATTTATGCAATTTAACCTTTTGGGCCCTGGAATATCATTTTATAGAAAATCTAAAATTAATGTTAAAAGAAAACCAAATTATGAAATAGGCTGGTTTCATAATTGACCAATGATCATTTCACATAGACTCTATGCCTTTCACTTTACGAACGATGATTTTCCGTTATAACTATAAATCAAATGATGGTTTTTATTCACCTTATTCATTATAAAGTTTATTTAATAGCTTTAAAAATTCGAAATTGAAATGAATAGTCTAGGTAACATACTGCATTAATGTACTCTACTGCATATAATTTGTGAACATTTACATGATTTGTACACTTTGAACTCCCTTTCAGGCTGAAAGGGACTGAACAAATTCATACCGAGAGATTCTTTAAATTCCCCTCTAATATATATTCTATATTCTATGGCATTGACATTTAGACACTTCTTTGAATTTATTTTCTGCAAAAATATCAAAACATCAAATGCCAAATGATCAAATACCTCATTATGAAGTACAAACAAAGTACGTTTCAATTAGGTCTACAAGCTAGAAATGTAAACAAATCAAAGAAAAATCATAACAACGGATCGTACTGCATTTTTCATCTCAAAACCGGTTAAATGTCAACAACAAAGAGAAAACAAAGAGGAGACGATAAGAGATAAGGTAAGAGAAGAAAAGAGAGAACAGAAGAGTAGAGAAGAGAAGAGAAGAAAAGATAAGAAAAAAGAGAAGAAAAAATAGAAGAAAAAAAGAAGAAAAGAGAAAAGAAGAAAAAAAAGTGAAGAAAGGAGAAGAGAAGAAAATAGAAGAGAAGAGAAAGAAGAAAAAAAAATTGCGTGAAAGAGAGAGCTTGCATTTTACAGACGTTTTATCATAAAAATATGTTTAAGAATACCTTAAACTTTAAAATTAACTGTATTGTAAAATTGTATGAAATTGAAAACAATAGTTGTCCTAACTGTTTAGCGTACATTTTTTTGGATCATTTAGAGATTTTTGATCATTTGGCATTTGATATTATGTTGCGATTTTATTTGATTTTAAGATGCAATAATGTCCCTGGATGGTTCCTCCTCGTTAGATGGGAACTCATGAGCACAGTGAGCTACAGCTAACCATACTTTATCACAACTCTTAACAGAAGAAAAATATTGTCTTTATGCACTATTAAAAAAGACTTTGTTAGAAAAAGCAAGCTAATGCATGGGTAACGCCGAACGGTTCTCTAAATTATGTAGATTTTGTTCAGAATGAGATACTGGATGTTAGAGATATTTCACATATTTCTATTTAAAATTCTATTCGTAAGTTCGAAATGAATTTGGTAATTTTGATTTTACAAATGAGGATTTTTTTTAAAAACAAACTCATCGTTTTGTTAATGACGTAGAAAAGGCGATAAAAGAGACGATCGTTTAAATCTTACGTCATTTCGTTAAGGGAGGTCTGGACTTTTTTTGAATTCTTGACGATTGTTTTCTTTTGTTAACAACCGTACCTTTAATAACAATCGTTAACGAAGATTCATCTTTAGTGATTGTTATCAACGATCCATCATTAACAATTGTTATCAAGACCCATTGTTAACGATCATTATCGATGACCCATCGTTAACGATCGTTATCGATGACCCATTGTTTACGATCGTTATCGTCGACCCATAGTTAACGTTCGTTATCAACAACCCATCGTTAACGACCGTTATCAACGACCCATCTTTAACAATCGTTATCAAAGACCCATCGTGTTTTAAAAACGGTTAACAACGCTTATTTCGAACTAACTATGCTTTTCTACTCGATCAATTCATTCCTTGGCGGTCAGATTAAAAGACACAGTTGGCCTTGCCCTTGTACCGTGTCAACAATCGCGGTTTTCACCAAAAATAAAAATAAAACCTAGAGGAGTTACGAGGTCAGAAAGACGTGCTAGTAATGTAGCATATACTTTAATTTTTTTTCCTTTTATAGTCTAGTTTGCAGTGGTAGGCAGGATTGTTATGTTTATCAATAAAAGCTAAACTTTATTTTTTTCATATTCAAAATATGCAGAATATATATTTATGTTTTGAATAGCGGTTTCAGCCAACGAAAACTCTCACTAAAAAATTTGAAATAAGCGAATAAATGCGAAAATGTTGCAAATTTTTGTAGCTGCAACAACTAAACATTTTCATCATTTGTATCATAATAAATGATTTCTCTTCCATATTTTTTTCGCAAAATTTTCGCTTTTTGATTTCCCAAAAATTTTAGCATTTGTTTTTTCGCAAAACAGAAAAAAGCGAAAAAAAGAAAATTTTCTCATTTTCTTGAAGAAATGGAAGGAGGGGGGGGGGTCGATTATTGACTTATCTTGTCGTAAAAACAGATACCTTCCTCCAGGAAAAAGGAGTAGGGGGGGGGGGGGATTATATATACCTTCCTCCAAGAAATGCTACTCACTGGGCGACGTTTACCACTGTAATCCTTTAGTCTAGGAATATTTTGATTAAAAAATTATTTTACATAGATTTAAAATAACATTTGAATAAAAAAACTGAAAAGTTATATTAATATTATTTATTGAGTCAATTTTTTCTATATTCCTTATTTGATAAAGTTAGTTTAAAGAGATGCAGTCCACATTATTTTAAACTGCCCTTGCTACTCAAGAAATGCATTCTTTTTAAGAACTGCAACTTGTAAACCTCTCAATAAGTCACGTGATATCTTAAGTTTCGAAAAATAGAAATCGTTTAGATTTACTTTTAGCCCTTTTTAAATGCTTGTCTCGCTTGGCACCCTGAACTAACGAGAGAGAGAAGCATTCGGTTTCTTTTATTTGAAATCGTACGTGTTTTCGTCTATAACTCAATTCAGTCTTTAGACTTACAGATTTGTTTATTTTTTACTTTTTCATTCAAAATGTACATGCCAACAAAAAAGTATTTAAGATAAAAGGCTGCAAAAAATGATGTAAAAGGGGTCATATTGTGATAGAAAGTCACAGTTATCTGAAATATTGACAGAACCGTTAAATCCACATGTTGGATTTCCGTTGACAGTCCCTTTATAAACAACTTACTTTGATAAAGTTGTAATTTTCAATGCACTGCTATCTTCCTCTTTCTCCTCATAATCCTGAAAATAAAATTCTTAAAGGGACAGTAAGCGTAATTTCAAAGCTGGCAATACCCGGTTTACAATGGTACTCTTGACATCCTTGACATCTTAAACTGATAAAAAATGTGGAAGATACCGTCGTTATACAGTCGTTTTTATGACTATAAAGCTGTTTGATTCTAATTATCGCTCCATATTGTGATCTTATAAGTAATACATGAGCAGGTTTTTTTTCGCAGAGAAACCGCAAATGAAAATAATCAGTTCTGAGAAAAAACACAGATATTTTATTGGTTCCATTCTAAATCGGGCTAAACCATTTTTGTATGGAGGTTTACTTCAAAATGCGTAGACACAGTAAAACGTCCAATTTATTATTGTACCCCTTTAAGGAACTGTAGTCGACATTTCTAGTTACCCTCAATTTGTAGAGAGGCACAATTTCGGTTGACGAAAATACCATTTAAACATGGTAATGACCGCCTTGAACTACGAGTCCTGACAAAGAATTGTCACCCTTTTCGAGGTATATTCGTGTTACATACATGTTATGTCATCCTATATCCTATAGGCTTGTCCGTGCACTTCCGTTGAAACTTTTCGAACGCTACTTTAGAGATTAACACACAGATTTGCAATTAAAGAATAGACATTTTTAAATGAAATAATATTTGAAGCTTTATTTTGTTTTAAATTTTACCTTTTAGATAACTTTTGAGGAAACTTTGAATTGTAAAATAAAAGAAAAAAAATTTCATTTATTTTGGAATTTTAATGTTTATTTTATGTTTTCTTGATCACCTGAAAATAGATTTCTTCAATGTTGATGGCGTTGTTTATTCGTATAAATCTTTCCATAGTTTTCGATAGTTTTGCAGCGGTCCATTTAAACATGTCCTCCTTACACACCTTTCTCACAAACTGAAAAAACCAAAAACATAAAATTTGTCGAAAAACTTTGCAAAATAGAAATCAATTTTATCTTCAACTGTGTTTAGTGTGTTCAGCTAATGAATAGAAATCAGAGTTTGATCTGGTTTGATCTGGTTTGATCTGGTTAAACTGCTCTTCGCTAAAGGAGTTGAATCTTTGCCACAAATCAATTTTTTAAATTTCTTTATCTTTGGAACCTAATGATGTAAACCTTTGATATTTCAAACTTAGATTATTTGATCAATGCAGCATTCATAGTTTGAAATATCTAAGGCCTACGGCATTGTGTTGCAAAGATATTGAGATTAGAGAACAAGATTTTGTGGGAAAGACTGAATTCCTATCGTATTGGTTCAACAAAACGTTAGGATTTCTAGCAATGTGTTACTTAAAAATAAACAAATAAAGACAAAATCCGAGTAAAAGAACAAAAGTAAAGTAGCACTTATTGTACAGACAGTGGAATAGGAAACGACATTTTTGCAATCTTATATGTTTGTATTTGATGTTGTTTCAAAGCAAATAATAGTTAAGCCAGTTGAATACAAATTAACGATAGGTCTGTGTAAACTATACAATTGAATGTTCATTTGAAATCTTCCAATGCCTATAGTTTGATGATTCCCTCTGTATTATTACACATTCACCCATTATGTTTTAGAGGAACTCTGCATTAGCGTTTCAACCGAAATTGGTAAATCGGTTTGCGAAAATTTCGCATTTTTCGCAAAAAAAAAATTTCACCGAAAATTTCGCATTTTTTTGGATTTCGTTCGTTGAAAAAAATTACCAAGTTATCGAGAAATTGTCTCATTTCTGTTCTTGGCAACATTTTTGTTTGTGAAATTTCGCATAGTTTTTGCTTCCTTTCGCTAAATTTACTGACGCAAAAAAACGTTGCAAAATACGAAATCAAAATTTCTCATTTTTTCGCGAACATTTTCGTTTGCTTTAAACTTGCAACCCTATTCTGCACTAATTACCCGCTTAACAGTTTGCTATTCCAAACTTTGCAAGATGTTTTTCTTCCTGTATGTTTCTAGATTAGCAAGCATACAATGAAGTTTCAAACTGTTATAAAAAATACTAAAACCTTTTGTCATTAAAACTTTTCTTTTAAAACTTTCATAAATTATGTTAGAAGCACTGTAAGTGTTTGAAAGTAACATTTTATTTAGTTCTTTTTCAAACATTTTACTTTGTTTCTTCTAACATTTAATTTGATTTTTAACATTTTATTGTAATTTTATTTTTAAAATTGTCAGTTGCCCAGGAGCCTCAGGACAGTCAGGTTCTTTTTATACATCACGCCTAGTTTCAAGCCGATGAGAGAAACCCTGTGTGGAATGAAACATGGCAGTGCACCCTACTTGGGAAAAAAGAAAATAATATCTATGCCTCTCTTCCCCCTCCATCTTGCTAGAAACAATGAAAATGGAAACATAGAAAGTAAATCCTGATTGGGTATGCACCATGCACAATGATACCAATTTATACTCTTTCGGCTGCGAGGTAAAGATTGCTGTGGACGAGGACGTATTCTGAAGTACAATTTAGGAGCAACTCCCCATTAATTTACATACAGTGCAACTTCCATGGGTAACCTTTTAAAAATTCCGCAGAACTCGGAAAGAGTATAAATCCTGGAGAAAGTAGGGATCTTCTATGCATGTCCCTCGATACCCTCCCATCCTGACCTACTCCAAACTTCTAACTCCTCTATTTGTCACAAACAGTATTTGGAATTGATTTCTTAGTGGACAAATGGTGTAGGCTCCATTTTCAAGACCACTAGGCCGGCGTAACCATATTTGGGCATGACGCTTAAAATAACAATTGCCGAAACCTTTTTTCCACCTGGCCCCCTCCCACCGTCCTGACCTTAAACCAGCCTGATCAACTGTGCAACGTCAGACTTTCCTGGTTACTGCAATAAATCTGCTAACTGAGTCAGCCAAGTTAGAACACACTAAAACATACATTCAACCTTAGTGAGTTTCTAAAAATTACTGGTTTCGACCAAATTTTTTTTTTCAGAATTATCAGAACCTGGGACAGTGAACAGAAGAAAAATAAATAAAGGAAGAAAAAATGACAAGAAGAATAATAAAATTAGAATTTTTCTGTATTAACAATATCCAAATTATAAAATTTAAAATATAAAATAACAAATATTAAAAACTTTTCTGAAATTCTACCTTGTCTTTTTCTCTAACATTTTAGTTTGTTTTCTAACATTTTGTTTAGGTTTTTTCAAACATTTTCAAATTTTTTTTAACAATTTACCCTGTTTTCTGAAAAACATTTTATCTAGTTTTTTTACCTATATTTTACCTTGTTATCTAACATTTTAGTTTGTTTTACTATCATGTTGCATTGTTTTTCTAATAATTTACCTTTTTTTACATTTTACCTTGCTTTTCTAACATTTTACCTTGTTTTCTAACATTTCACCTTGTTTTTTAACATATTACATTGTTTTCTAACAATTTACCTTGTTTTCTAACATTTCAACTTCTTTTCTAACAATTTACCATTTAAAAAAAAACCTTTCACCTTGTTTTTTTGTTCCTGTGATTCTAACCTTACATCTTTAGGCCAGCCACCTTCAGTATGATTTACGCTGCTGGTAATAACCTTAAAAGATAAACAATCAAAATAAAAATATTTTCAACCTTGCTTAAAAACATTAATGCTGATGCGTTGACATTTTTTGATTATAATTTGATTTGAATTAGTCATAGTCATACCTAGTTAAACCTCTTTTTTTGTTTAAACACAACCTTCTCTTTCTTGAAACTTGAAACAAGCCATGGCTTGTTTTATTGAAACATATTTTAAACTAATTTTTATTGGATACAAACATACACACAGAAAAAACTAAGCGACAACATACATAAAATACGCTATTAAGGCAATTTGCGCCCACTCTTTTTTAAATTTGTGTAGCTTTCCTGACGTTTTTTTCAATTTCGATGATCTATAAAACTTCCCTGGAGTCTTGTGAGGCCCCCCCCCCCCNTTTTTATAATTTCTTTTATGAAAATAATTTTTTCAATTTACTCAAAGAAAATTTTGTTTTGTAACGAAATAAATCTTGAATATTTACGAATTTTGAATAATAGAAACTAGAAAAATGAATTTCTAACTTAATATATCTATACTAGGTTTTTAGGGCGCTTCGCGTTCACCTTCTATTTCAACGTTTTCTCTTTGCATATATTGTAAAACAAAAAAATCACAAAAATTTTGCGGATTTAATTAAAAAAATTTCGTGGATTTTTTAAATTTAATGCAAATCGAATTTGAGGCAAATTTTTGAAAAATTCGTTCATCCATCAACCTTCCCTGTAGTGATCACGTGAGGTCCCACAACAAATTTTTGTCCTGATCGGTTCAGCCGTTTTGACGTTTATTGGATAAAAACAAACAGACACCCAAATAAACAGGTAAGCCAAGTGTGTATATAGATAGAAGATTGTTATAAAACACACTTACGAGATTACAGTACTTTTTGTGTCTAAAAAAATGCAACCATTTCGGAGAGTCCTATAAACATGGTGATTAAAATATCGACATTTGATAGCTAGGCATCTTGAACTTGGACAAATTTGTCCAAGTTCAAGATGCCTAGCTATCAAATGTAAAAGTATATCTTCATATTTTTAAAATTTTGTTTAGTCATGGGATTTAGATTTTAAAGTTTAAAAGCTCTGTTAGATTTGTCTAGGTAAATTATGCAAAACTAAGCTTTTATTTAATTCAATTTGTGTTCCTAAATGAAGACGACTTTATTACAACTATTTTGTAAAATTGTCGACTGGTTGATTTCCTGTATATCTTATGTTTGAACTTGGGTTCATAGTAAACATCTTCATGTGCTTCTCCGTACAAACTAGTCAGATCTTCATCGTCAGCTTCCTTAAATCAACGTTGTAATGCAAGGAAAGTTATATCAGTGGTGTACACATCTTTTGTACTGCAGTGTACTGTCTCTGAGCGGTAATGTAAACACAAGACGGATTTCGAAGCCTAACATAGGATCCATCTTTCAAATAAAAAATCAATGAAAAATTCTGGTCATAGGAAACTATTATGTAAATTATCAAAATTTAATGCTTTTATCGTCCACGGATACTAAAAAAACACTGATGCATCTATTCTTGTTTACAAATTCCGCCCAGAGAGAACTGGTTTCAATATGTACGCAGAGTATACGCAACTGCAATTAATTTTCCTTGCATTATAACCCTGGTGTCTTGTGAGGCCCCCCCCCCCCAAAATATTTTGTCCCAATCGGTTCATTATTATTGGGGTAAATATTAGATACAATTGTACAAGCATATAAACCACACATACATTTCACTTTAAAAATGTTCATTTGGCGTATTATCCCGTTTTGTCTTACATAGTTTGTTTATGTACTGTACAGTGTACAACTTGTTCTAGTTGGGGGAAAGTCGTCCAGGTACTTGAACCGGAGTTTACAGTGACTAAGAAACAAGCCAAATAAATATATTTTAAGATAAATAAATACCTGTCTTGGTATAGTGTTGGTTCCTGCATGACGATAATGAACAATATCTCCTTCATTCTGAATTCAAATATTTTTTTTATTTTAAATTTGAAAAAAAACCGGCAAGGGAAATAAACCCGGATTTTGTTTGTTTTGATGAAAATATTGAATTGCCTTATGAAGAGGGTGTATCATGATGAAATCCTGAAATTGCGAGATAAAAATTAAACGAACAAATTTCAAGAACCCCCCTCTCTGCTACCCCACGTACATTGAAGATGTTTAAAAAGACATGATAAAAAAATGTTATAAGTCCGAAATATCCGCAGAATTTCTTTTTTTATCTTCCTGAACTAAACTCTCGTCTGGTAAAATATTGATTATTTTAACTTCTTCTTCTTCTTCTTCATCTTCCAGTGTTTTTTCCTAAAAAGAGAAAACAATCACATCTAAAATCTTTGAAATAATAAAATATTATCATTCTTCTATATGATAAAGCTCTACATGTATATTTGTAGGTCTGTATGTGTATATATATATATATATATATATATATTTAAACANTTACTAGTCAGATCTTCATCGTCAGCTTCCTTAAATCAACGTTGTAATGCAAGGAAAGTTATATCAGTGGTGTACACATCTTTTGTACTGCAGTGTACTGTCTCTGAGCGGTAATGTAAACACAAGACGGATTTCGAAGCCTGACATGGGATCCATCTTTCAAATAAAAAATCAATGAAAAATTCTGGTCATAGGAAACTATTATGTAAATTATCAAAATTTAATGCTTTTATCGTCCACGGATACTAAAAAAACACGGATGCATCTATTTTTGTTTACAAATTCCGCCCAGAGAGAACTGGTTTCAATATGTACGCAGAGTATACGCAACTGCAATTAATTTTCCTTGCATTATAACCTTGCTTTAAATAAAGAGATTGTACATTTATTAATTGGAGACACAATTAAGCGAATCTTCATTCGAAGATTTAAAATAAATAATAAACATCCTTTATCTTGTTTAAAAATATAATTTCTAAAAAGCGGCAAAAAAAACATGCATATCTGATTTTTTGTTTATATATTTTTGAAAACATCTTCTTCAGCTATTAAAAAGTATGTAATCTATTTTGTTCTGTTTTTTTATAATGTAAAAATAAAGTTACAATGTTGCAAAACTTTCCCGGCACCTGATAAAATTCTTCCTATTTTTGATAGTTTAGGAACAAACTAGTATTATTTATAATATTAGGTTAATCATTAATTAATATATACTCTTTTTATGATTTTTATAAATATTGAGAATATATGAGAATATAAAGGAATTGAGCCTTTGCCATAAACTCAAATATTATTATCTGAAGGTTAGATTATTTTACATAACAAACTTCAAATTTTGAAATATCTTATGTCTATAACATTTGGTTGATAAAATGTAAAGGTCCAAAAATCAGAGTTTGTGGCAAAGACTCAATTCCTTTCTGTTTTGAATGAATATTAAATTGAATATCAAGAATTTTCAACAATCGTATTTAATGCAAGATATTATAAAAGTGAATCGAAAACAAATTGTACAAAGTTTTTCTTTATTATGACTCATTTACCTCTCCTGGTTGTTCAGTTAGTTCAGAGCTTTTCTTAATTGGTGCCATTTTTTAATATTTACGTTTATTTGTTAATCTGAATAAAAGATTTATTTGATGTGAATTTCAAAACTATCTCTATTTAGCCACTTTAATTGTAGTGAAATCTAGGCAATCTAAAGAAGTAACGCTGAGTATGTTTTTTAGAGAGAGGGAGAGGGGGGGATATATTAATGGATTTTAATACAGAATTTACACAAGACGCCTCTGAATCACTCTAGATTTATTAAAATGCTTTCTGAATTATTTGTTTTACGGGCTATTTGCCATTTTTTTTTTTACAAAGACCAGACTTTGACAAAAAAATCCTTCATATTTCTTTTCATTAAAAGTCACAAAATTTCACGGTGGTAGTGTCAAAAATGAGAATGCTAGGACTAAGAAAACTAGAGGGAGGGGGCGTCGAACGCCCCCCCCCCCCAGCCCGTTTAGGGTTTAGTGAGTTTGTGAGGCAAAACCAAAAGTCAAGGCTCTGCGTCTAGATTTTAGTGAGTCTATGCCACAAATTCTGATTTTCTAATCCCAATATCATTGCAACCCAATGTCGTAGACCCTAGATATTTCAAACGATGAATTATGTTAGACTAAATAATCTAAGCCATCAGGTTACAAAGGTTATAGGGATAAGAAAATTTGAGTTTGTGGCAAAGTTTGTCAGCGAAAATATTAGTCATAAATTTGCAAAGTATATTTTGCAGTTCTTTTTAAACTTTCCTGTAAAGTCAAAAGTAAATTCTTTAAATAAAAAAAAACCAAAAATCTCTGAACTATGAAGACGACGTTTATACTTAAAAGGACTGCAAAGGAAAAATGAAAGGATGAAACCTGAGAATCTCAGGCGTTAAAAGATACATATATAACATCTATGTGCTGTTCCTGTCTCGAGAAATTGATATAAAACTGTGTCAAATTTATACGAAAATTCATATATTCACCCTTTTGTGTATTAAAAGTAGTAGGTTTAAACAGATCATATTCAGCAAATACGCAACAAATCTGAAAACGACGATATTCCACAGGAGCCAGAGAATCTCAGTTGTGGTCCTATTATATTTTTTAAATTTTTATTTTGCATTTTTAATAGATATAATTGATAATATAATTAAATATAGTCCGTATAGTCCGTAGTACGTAACTAGAACTTCAGCCAATGGAAGTGCAGTATCGATACAGACGGAAATCACGTGACCAGTATACTGCACTGCCATTGACTGAAGTTCTGGTGACGTAATACCGACAATAAGGACAATATGTAATAATATTTTCAATTATATCTAGTAAAAATGCAACATAAAAAAAACATAATAGAAGCAAACCTGAGATTCTCAGGCTCCTGTGAGGCTGTGGGATATCGTCGTTTTCAGTTTTGTTTGCGTATTTGTTGAATATTATCTGTGTAATACTACAACTTTTATACAAAATTGCATATATATACATTTTCGTATAAAGGAATTGAGTCTTTGTAACAAACTCTAATTTTCTAACCCCTATATCTTAGCCGGCCAATGTCGTCTTTATTAGATATTTCAAACTATGAATTCTGTTGGATGAAATAATCTGAGTTAAAAATATCAAAGGTTTGTACCATCAGGTTGAAAAGATATAGGGAATAGAAGATTTGAGTTTGTGGCAAAGACTCAATTCCTTTGACACAGTTTTATATCAATTTCTCGAGAAAAGAACGTCATATAGATGTCTTATATTTATCGTTCAACTCCTGAGAATCTCAGGTTTCAGCCTATACCCCCTTTATTTTTCCTTTACAGTCCCTTAAGTCTTGATTAAAAAAATGAAACACAGAAATTGTGCGTTATAAGCCTAGCAACTTCATTCAAAAAATTGATTTTTGACTGGAGCACGGGCAGCGTAGTACATTTGAATTTCCGAGCCGGGTCAACCTTTACAGTCCCAGTTTGTACTGTATCGCCCGGACATTGGGTAAATCAAGCAGACACTCAGAAGGACTTGCCCGTGCAATAAGGTTGACGCGGTCAGCCTTTAGGTTGAATTTACTTTTACTGAAGAGTCAGAGGTGCGTGGGAGAATTTTTCAAATATAGCTTTGTTTTCTAAACATTCATTTTAAACACATCTTCAGAAAAATTTACTGAATGCGTATAAAAATGACGTAAACAAACAGTCCCTTTGAACTTTGATTAAGATAAATATTTCCTAAAAAATTTTCTTTTTAAACCTTTAAAAGAGTGTTCTGATAGGAACACAAACACAAACTAAACTTTTCAAATCAGCAGACACATACAAACTTTCCAACTTTGGACAATCAATCCATCAATCAAATGTGATAATTAAAGAGATATATTGGGGTTTTATCAGAAACGGGATAGGGGGGGGGGGTTAATTTTGATAAAATGATATTATAATTATAGCGTTACAACTTTGCCAATTTTTCCAAATTACATGGAACAAAAGATAGATATAATGCTAACTAATTAGCGGGTGCTACTCCAAAAAAATTTACCATATGGAGGGGGGGAATCTAACTGGGTTAAAGTAAAGGGTTAAACATGATATAGAAGATAGATGATTGTAGATAAAGGCTCCAAAGATATTTAAACCTTTATGTGTGTTTAACCTCATTGTCAATATAAAGTATATCAGTATTTGGCTCTTTTGTCTAAAGTTGTAGCAGGCCCCCCCCCTTTAAAATTGCTATATAATCCTAAGGTTTATTGTAAGCTACAGATAGAATTAATTACCTTTCTCACCTAGAATATATATTAGGATGAGATTTACATTTGTTTATCAAGCTAGAAACAATTCTTGTATATTAGTGTAATCGTAATTTCAAGTGCCCCTCCGTGCAATGTCAATGCCCGATTCACACCTGAACACTTGAAACCTTTATCTGATTAATAATGTGAAAGATGTTGTCGTTTTTCTTGGTTTAAAAATGTTTTATTCTGGGAAATTCAGATTTACAGTTTTCCTGCAGTAGAAATGCGCAAGTCAATTAAATTCTTCAGTTTAGCAAATCTAATTCATACTTGATCAGACAAAACTTTTAAATGTGCCGTTGTTCATCGGACAAGGCCATCTTTGCATGGAGGGTAGCAAGAAACTGTTCTTACAGTCCTTAACTTTTTAGAAAACACGCTAGGAGAATGATCGATAAAATCGAATATTTCTACTTCTTACATTTTATAATATAAAAATGTCGAGGATTTTCTTGTTTCTTTGACAGATTTCCAACATTTGGACAAATCTGAGGTTTTTAAGAGAACCAATTTTTAAAAACTTTTTTTAGCCATAATCCCTCTCTTTGGGTCAAATTAGGTTTTAAAAAAAACGTATGCACTAGCAATTAGGTCTAAAGGTTTAATCTGATGGATACAAAAGCATCCATTAAAAACAGACATGCAAATAAACTCAGAGTAAAAGTGAGTTTAATATTAATTATTAATATTTATGAATAAGAAATAAATGATTATCAGCAACAACTGTAATTTCCAGATTTCATTGTTTTGTTGAACATTTTCTTTTTGGTTAAAAAGTTTGCAGAAAGTTGGCGTCAATTCTAGTTCCCTTGTCACCAATTTCCAGGTAAATATTGGAGTATTGGGACTTATTTCAGGGCGGGTATATATTACAGTTCAGGGACCCATTTCTAGTGATTGGTATCGTTTTGTAAAAGAACAACATTTTTAGCAAACGAAGGTGTCAAAAAAAACGAATGATGGACGAATGTTTTGGATCGTTTAGAGAAAAGAAAAAACAATAGTTTTTTTAAACGAACGATTTAGTATCGATCAAACGAACTAAAATAACGATCATTTTCTACTAAAAGAACGAATTTTTCAGAATATATTTTTTTTCTGAACAAACGATTTTTTGGAACCAAACTTTTTAAAACCATAGTTTTTAATGAAGGAACAATTTTTTCGAAAAAACATTTGAAAAATATATAGTTTTCAATCTTGTGTTGCCCTTTTGAACGAATCAATTTATTTAATTAACGATTTTACTGAACGATCGTTCAGATAAAAAACGAAAAAAAAGATGGAACATGAAATATTATTTGGAAAAAGAAAGACACTTTAATTGTGCAGTGTAAACAGATCCATTTCAACAAATAAGTGGCTTCATGATTGGCAAGTAAAACTATTTTCTTTGTTATAACATCAAATACACTTAAGTATTGCTATCTGATCGTCTTCCTATTCCATTGATTTCTGGTTGTTACTGTACAGACGTAAACAAGTATACAAACAGTAATCTTATGCTTTTATACATTTCTGGTTGTTACTGTACAGACGTAAACAAGTATTCAAACAGTAATCTTATCCTTGGATACATTTCTGGTTGTTACTGTACAGACGTAAACAGGTATTCAAACAGTAATCTTATCCTTGGATACATTTCTGGTTGTTACTGTACAGACGTAAACAAGTATTCAAACAGTAATCTTATCCTTGGATACACTCTAGAAGATTTAAAACTTTCATCTAACAAACCTTATTGGAGCACTTTCACATTTACAGTTTTTTTTTCACAGGAACCATGCAGGGATTCCCATAATAGATGAGACTTTAATGAGAATTTAGGAAAAGAAAAAAAAGTTTACAGGGGCAGGAAACCTTAGGGGGACTGTAAGCGTAATTTCAATTGAACAAACATTCTACCCGATTATAGTTGAACCACTTAATTTAGAATCTCAAATAAACTAAGAACATTCCCGTGGCTTTCTCCCGAGTTCCCCAATAAAAATTTGAGGCAAATCGGTCAAGGGGTTCCTGAGTAATGTAATGTTTTTGTTTCTTTAAACTGTTTATTTTTATTTGCGATTTCTCTGCGTAAGTGACTTGCACATTTTATTAAGAAGCAATGGAGAAGTTCACAGAAATAAACACATTTTGCGTCAATAAAACGCGGGTATCTTCAGATTTTTGATCAGATTAAAATTTCTAGGGTACCGTTGTAAATCGGGCATTGATATCTTAGGATTAAGGGTCACTTGAAATTACGCTTTCCCTTTATATATAAGAACAAAAACGGATTAAATTCCATGTTGTCATGACTGAAATCTCATCTTTGTCGACAACCTTGTAGGTCCTTTCTGTTCGTTAACCTTGTAGGTCCTTTCTGTTCGTTAACCTTTTAGGTCCTTTCTGTTCGTTAACCTTGTAGGTCCTTTCTGTTCGTTAACCTTGTAGGTCCTTTCTGTTCGTTAACCTTGTAGGTCCTTTCCGTTCGTTAACGAAATAATCAAAAATAAAAGATTATTGTGTTGAATTCTTAACTGAAGTATTTTTAAAATTTGTAAATAGCATTATATATTTATCCTTGAGAAATAAGTTTAATAAGTGTGTTTTATTTAGATTTAATTTTAAATTCTCAATACAAATTCAACTGTAGGAAACCATAATAAAAAAAGATTGTTTAATTAAAAATACTAACAACAAAAAATAGATAAAATATCAAATATGAATACGTAACAAAAAAAAGTGCATCTTAAAATTTTCTCAGCAACGTTTTGTGTTCATAATGTGCACTGTAAATGGTAATTAATGCTATCAATGTCTAATGGTACTGTAACTGTGCCAATTTCATCTAGGCTGTATACTTCTAATTTTGTATTGCTCTGACTGCAGTTAAAAAGTGCCAATTAGATATTCAATTTTCATAATTTTGTATACAATGTTACCCATCAAAATGGGTCTGTGTGTACTGCACAATTGCTTTGTTTAATGATACACATTTTTATGGGTTTCACTGTAGCTTTGTAAACTGGCAATTCACATAATAGTAATATAAACATTGTAAGTATTTTTAAGATATGGTGATCAAGCATGAAAATAAATACTATGATTGTTTATGAATCCTTATGCTTGAGTGTTTTTGTACTCAGCCGTCAGTATAGGTTCAGTGTTATCATTTCGTTTGTTTATATTCTTCTTTTGTCCATTTCTCCTTAACATAAATAAATAGTTAGAGAGTAGAGAGTAGAGAGTAGAGAGTGGAGAGTAGAGAGTAGAGATTGGAGAGTAAAGAGTAGAGAGTAGAGAGTAGAGGGTAGAGAGTAGAGAGTAGTGAGTAGAGAGTAGAGAGTAGAGAGTAGAGAGTAAGAGAGTAGAGAGTAGAGAGTAGAGAGTAGAGAGTAGAGAGTAGAGAGTAGAGAGAGTAGAGAGTAGAGAGCTATTATATTATATTCTATGGGGATCAAAAACTCTAAATTCTAAAATACTTTGTTTTTCAAAGCTAATACAAATTTTGTGTTAATATTTGTAATAGAAAAAATTAAGAATTAAAATCTAATATTATTTCTGAATTATCAAAAAATTTATTTTTGATAAGAATATGAAATAAAATACGAGATATGTTTAAGATGTGAATTTATAAACTAAATATTTGTTTTTTTGACGAAATAAAATTTTTTAAAACAGACAAATGTTAACAATTGCTTTATTATGAATTGTTGACAGTCAAAGATATGTTTGTTTGTTTATTTTAATACCTGTATGCTCCATATCCAAGTGATGGATAAAGTCCGCCTCCAATTCCTCCGATACCTCCTAATCCACCAATCCCTCCTACTGAACCAAGACCTCCAAGCCCTCCTAGGCCTCCTAGACCTCCAAGACCACCAATGCCTATTTGAATTCCTGGGACACTTCCTGAAATGCCTCCGATGCCTCCCAATCCTCCTAACCCTACTCCCCCCAGACCTCCATAACCAGCACCTCCGATCCCTCCCAGACCATAACCTCCGATACCACCGAGACCACCTCCTATACCTCCAAGACCACCTCCTATACCTCCAAGACCACCTCCTATACCTCCAATACCAACTCCAATTCCCCCAATTCCTCCTCCGATTCTTATCCTTGGATACATTTCTGGTTGTTACTGTACAGACGTAAACAAGTATTCAAACAGTAATCTTATCCTTGGATACATTTCTGGTTGTTACTAAGACCACCTCCTATACCTCCAAGACCACCTCCTATACCTCCAATACCAACTCCAATTCCCCCAATTCCTCCTCCGATTCCCCCAAGTCCACCTCCAATTCCTCCAATACCACCTCCTAGACCACCATATACTCCTAGAATAAATCACAGTTAAATTTATTAAAAAAAGTTTTTAAATTATGTCAATTAACTCACCTCCGTTTAAAGGTAAAACCCCGTAGTAAGAGTATGGATAACCTCCGTATCCCCCATCGGAGTATCCGTAATATCCATGGTATCCATATCCTCCTCTATATCCTCCACCCCCTCCGATACCTCCAATACCTCCGACACCTCCAATACCTCCGATATCTCCAATACCTCCGACACCTCCGTAGGAGGGATACAGAGAACCATAGTAGGGCACACGGGTCTGATGATAACTAGAAACAATTATTCAGTTAGGATTTAAACGCTGCTAAAGTAAGAAATGAAATCATTGTCTTGTTAATTCCAGAATTAAATAAAATGTTTGCAGAAAATTTCAAAAATTCACTGAAAAAAATCATTTATTTAAATTAGCATTTAAGACGTTTTTTGTTAATGTTCATTTATGGATTGGAGTGGCTTACCCGTCATTATATGAGCCTGAAGTCTCAAGATCATTCTTCACATTTCCATAATCATCATTACTCCAATCATGCTAATAATATAATGTCATCATTACTCCAATCATGCTAATAATATAATTTCATCATTACTCCAATCATACTAATAATATAATGTCATTATTACTCCAATCATGCTAATAATATAATGTCAACATTACTCCAATCATGCTAATACTATAATGTCAACATTACTTCAATCATGCTAATACTATAATGTCAACATTACTCCAATCATGCTAATAATATAATGTCATCATTACTCCAATCATGCTAATAATATAATTTCATCATTACTCCAGTTATGCTAATAATATAATGCCATCATTACTCCAATCAAGCTAATACTATAATGCCATCATTACTCCAATCATGTTAATAATATAATGTCATCATTACTCCAGTCATGCTAATAATATGATGTCATCATTACTCCAATCATGCTTATAATATAATGTCATCATTACTCCAATCATGCTAATAATATAATGTCATCATCACTTCAATCATGCTAATAATATAATGTCATCATTACTCCAATCATGCTAATAATATAATGTCATCATTACTCCAAATTAAAAACAATTACATTAGAAACATGAATGGCCGTTTATAGAGGAAAGTAGAAAGGTATAAATATAATGCTAATCATTTCTTTTTTTACATACAAATCCACAATATAAAATTAAATATCGTATTAAAAGAAAGATAAATTTGTTTTATCTAAAACAGTTTTTTTATCTTTAATAACTTCTCTGGATTCATTCATAGCTGTAAAATTCGTAATTTTTATTAAATTCCACGGGCAACGGCAATTTTATTTTTAAAATTATAAAAAGTGTTTTTTGTTTATTTTCTATTTTATTTAATGGAAAGAAAATGAGATTTAATCAAAAAATAATTATTAACCTTGTCAAATAAATCCTCGTCACTAGAACTGTAATGAGGAACCTGAAAATATAATTGTCAACATGTTTTCAAAAATATTCTTAATTGATTGCAAGTTAAGGGGGGGGGGGACCAGGGAGGGTCGATTTTTACTATTCTTTGATGCTCACTTGAAAAAAAGTATTAAATATAGAAATTACAAAAAGTCCAAAAACATTTATAAAAAAGGGTTAAAAAGTGTATTTTAAATTAAAAACTCTCAAATATGTGTGCCCTAAAATTTTTTTCGAAAATTCGGCCTCAGATTCTAAAAATTTCTTTGGAATTTCCAGGAATTCAGTCTCGGGAAATTATCGGAAATTAATCCAAATAGTATAGGAAATTTCAGGTGGCATCATGTTCTCGAAGAATTTCCTTTGTTTTCCTAAACTAAATCCCATCCTTCACACCAAAAAGCTATGTTTAAAAAAATGTTTTATCCTGAAAGCATTCTCTATAACAGGCCCCGGTTTTATTATGGCCACTTACTCTGGTGTAAGCATTATCTGATCTCTGATTAAGACTGTCCACCTGCTGCTGCTGCTGCTGCTTCTTGTTAAAGAATGCCTGAAGTGCTGGCTGGAACGTGCTTCCATGTTTAACCAGAATCTTTTTAACCAGTGCCCTACCATCAGGTTCAGATGTTCTTCCCTCCTGGAAGATTACCATCAAGTACGAAGATCTACGACTTTAACAATCAACGTTTCGGAAAACAACTTTCTTCTTTCAAGTTTGTCGAGGGATGTCAGGCAAAGCCAATTTATCTGGTTCTGGTGTATAAAAATGGCACGCGAACAATCATTAGTTTATATATATAAAGTAGTAATCTCTGTATATTTGATTTTGGTTTGTTTGTTTTCATGTCCGATGATAACTCATAAACCCCTTTCTTTATCGATTTCCTTCAAAACGGGAACTCGGGGTAACCACAGGAATATTCTTAGCTTTTAGATTCTAGGTTGAGTGGGTCGACTTTTATAAAGAAAATTGGCTAAAATCGTGATTTTAGACCAAGCACGGGTAAACAGCAAGAGTAACTGCAGTGAGTGACCTGGGCAACGCTGATTTGATTTATGTTTTCAATTTACAGTGTGGGGTTGACCCAAAATAAATTAACCGTAGGAGACAACTGTTCAAAATTTTTTTTTATTTTTATCATTTCAAACAGTTTCCTTGTTTTAATAACTTATTTATGACTCCTTGGAACAAATGCCAAAGCTAAAAGGCCTAATACAACTTTAAAACTTAAAATTAAAGAACACTTCAGAACTTTGTACAGTTTAATACCTTAGGAGGTATAATTCTGTTCAACGCTAAAAAGAAGCATATATTAAAAAGATTCAATATTGACTTATTTTTCAGAAATAACTTGATGGATTTCCTTAGGGCTTGGATTAAAGTTGTCTTGAAGTGTATTCGTCAAAACATCCTAAAAAAGACATTTTAAATTATGTTCAGTTAAGCTACGGTTAGAATTAATAAGTTTAAATACTAGCAATAATCTCTTTGTTTAAAGGCTTTTCATGAAGTCCAACCTTATAGAAATCCAACGTATAGAAACAAGGCGTATTTTCCGGGAGAATATTTTTTATATTTTTGAGAAATTAAACGTTTTTGTAAAACATTGTAGCTTATCATATCATTATCATAATTTCTATTTTTTTTAACATACCCTAGACATTAAAGGAGCAAAATAGTTTAATATGTACATTTGTACTGCTCTCTTTTGTGTTTGAGGTCCCCCAGATTTCATTATGTTCTGACAACATAAATGAATGATTATATGGTTATACATAAAATTGCATGTTACTATTTAAAAAAAATATTTTATAAAAATTCTATCTACAGTTTTATTTTTAGAAAAAAAATTTCTTAAAAGTATAAAAAAGTTCTCCAGTAATGCTAATATAATTTCATAAATTCCGTTTTATCATTTAAATAAAAGGATTTTTTGAAAATTATATCTACTTTACACTGATTAATTATTTAATTTCTCAAAAATATAAAAAATGTTCTCCCGGAAAATACGCCTTGTTACTATACGTAGCGGTTACGTACGTTGGATTTCTGTAAGGTTTGACTTCGCTTTTCATCACATCCCAGATAAAGATGATTCAGATTTTTGTTGCCTTTTTTGCTGTAGAAAGTTCATTGTTTGTTTTGTTTTTAAAAACTTTTTATCAAAATCCCTGGATTTAAAAACTGTACATACAAATTAATTTTACTAGAAGGAGATGGTTCAGTTGGTGTACCGTCCCGTTTTGCCTTGTATAGGCTGTATGTGTACTGTACTGCTTGCTCTAGCTGCTTCAAATTTGGACCGGTATACTTGAAATGAACCAAAGTTTACAAAGTAAAAAACAGGAACAATTCGATCCCAAAAAACGATCCCAAAAGCGATCGTTACAACGCGTTCATTTTGAATAGTTTTTAGATTTTTTTTGATGCATATATTTGTTGTCAGGGTAAAAGCTTGACATAGTGTAAGCATAGAAAACATTAAAAATAAACAAACTATAATATACACATTAATAAAGGACTAAAGCCCATTTGTACTTGTGTTACAATATATTTTAAGCTTCTTTGTCTGAAATAAAAAAGTTTCCTCATTTAATTCCAATTTAGAGCCATGAGTTCTAACCTTTTGTGTACTTTGTAGATCAGCCTTTCCATCTACCATGAGAAGACAGGAAACCTAGAAATTATTTTAAAATAAAAATAGAATTATTCAAAAACTTTCTTCGAAAACCGCACAGCGCGCATATCATGATATCACTGCAAACATTAGTCAGAAAAAATTACTTTCATGTCATGACTTTGTTACCTCATAGCTCCTCTATTAATGATTTTACGCTCATTCAAGTATGCGAATGCAAAGTAACTGAGTTCTTGCCACAATATCAAATTTTCTAATTTTTAGTATGAGAATGCAAAGGAACTGAGTTCTTGCCACAATATCAAATTTTCTAATCCCTATATCTTTGCAACTCAAAGTCGTAGACCTTGGATATTGCATACTATTAATTCTGTTAGATAAACATAATCTAAGTTTGAAATATCAAAAGTTTACACCACCAGGCTTCAAAAATATATGTATTAGAATATTTGAGTGTGTGGCAAAGACTCAATTCCTTTATCCGGTTTCATATTAGAAATTCTATACATTTGTAATCTTCTCAATAGTTCTTTGATAAGAGGAGTTATATTAAAGCACACAAGATTTAAATATTTTTAAGTGTAATTTTTTCTTTCATTTAAATTTGAAAATCAGCTGGAATTTTGTAGAATTCTTTGTAAAAATTGAAATTAGAAATAAGCCTTTTACAGCTTTAAAATCTTCGTATTTGGGGCTACTCAAATTGTCAAGTAGTAATATTAAATATATCAAAGCGATCTTGGCGCAATATGCAACATAAAATTGCAGTCATTTAAATCTTCAAATTCAAGAAATATTACATCAGTGGGGGACTCTTAGCTCTACAGTTTTGATTTATGTAAAAGTCTGAAAAAAACTAATTCAGAACAGTTTTGCTTTCTCAATAGCACTTTAACAATATGAGTTATGATTAAAAACATATATGATTTAAATCTAACGTGCATTTTACTTTAGTTTAACGTGATTACAATGCACGTGGATTTAAAGGTTCTGTCAATATTCCAGAAAGCTGTGACTTTCAATCACAATTTGACCTAATAAACATAATTTTTTTGCCTTTTTTCTTATATAATTTTTTGCTGGCATATACTTTTTGAATGAAAAGTATTAATCAAAGAAATCCGTAGATTTATACATTGTTTAATTACAGACCAAAACGCATATGACTTTAAATAGAAGAAACCGAACGCCCCTCACTCTGGTTAGTCCTGGCTGAATCGTTAATTTTAGTTTATTTACTGCCCTTACTGAGTTAGAAGTAAGTGTTAAGGAAGCAAAATATAAATGTATTTTATAACGAAATTATCATGTTCAGTTTCTGTCAACAAGTTTTTCTAGGATTTTTCTGTTGCAGCAAATAACAAAGTTTGAAATTTTAAGAAGGGGAAGTAGGAGTTTTTATACCAACATTTGTAGTTAACGTTTTTAATGTTTTTATCCTAGTTACAGAGAGATCTTATAGTTAAAGTTTTTAATCAAGATTGGACTTTCTTAAAGGGACTGCATCTTCGTAATTGCAAGTGCATTTTTATTTAAATACGAGGCATGTCTAATTCACAATGATACCCTCAAAATTCAATATTATGAGAAAGAACGATGAAGATATCCTCCTTTTCTATTTTAAAATAGATAATTTCTTATTTTGAATTTACAATCCAAATAACTTGCGACTTTTATGCAGACAACTATCTAGAGGAAATCGGGAATGCCCCTCTTTTAAATGGAGGGTCACTGATAACCGAGGGAACAGTCACTTTAATCGAGAACTAAAAACTTTTTATCCCAGAGATCATGAAAATGCACAAAATAATGTTTACAAAATATTACCAGAAAAGGGAGGATTTTACAGTGCATAGTAGATGTATCTATGTTGAACTGTAGGAAGATGTATCCAAGGGGTTAGATATATATACAGATATACAAGGTGATCCCTGGGTGGAGCTACCACCTTTAAACAATAGGATTAGAGACAATTATCGTTAAAATCAATGGCAAATTAGTTTGCGAAATTGTTTAAGAGCTACTTTATTTAGGAATCTAGTTTCAAGAAATAATAGAGTTAATTCAAATTCACAACAGTACACTTTTCTTTATTATTTGAGACATGATAATGAAGAAATCGTTGTTTTTCTTATTAGAAAGCAATTAAATCTTATTAATTTCCTATTTTGTTTCTAATGCAGGTCACTTTTATATTTCAAACTGTAACTGAAAAATTAACAATGTATTGAATTCAAAGATCAACTTTAAAGTTACGATTGTGAATCGGACATACACCTCCTAAAATGTAGGGTCCCTTAAAATTAAGTTGACAAATCCCTTTTTCATGAAATTTTTGTAAAACTAGACCTTCGAGACACTGCTGCTATTTTCGAGACACTGCTGATACCTTCGAGACACTGCTGCTACCTTCGAGACACTGCTGATACCTTCGAGACACTGCTGCTAACTTTGAGACACTGCTGCTACCTTCGAGACACTGCGATATTTCGAGACAACTGCTGCTACCTTCGAGACACTGCTGATGCCTTCGAGACACTGCTGCTACCTTCGAGACACTGCTGATGCCTTCGAGACACTGCTGATACCTTCGAGACACTGTTGATACCTTCGAGACACTGCTATTTCTTAGATACAACATTTTTTTCAAACCTTAAAAATATATCTAAGAGAAAAAATATCTTTTCTAAATGCCACTGAGTAATTAAGAAATAAAAAATCCCATATTTTACATGACTGCCAATTAAACAATAAAAAATCATAAAACAAACTGAGCTGAAAACTTTAGAATGAAATATCCAGATATCCGATCGGTTAACTTCTCTGGAGTTTAAATTCATGTGGAGAACAAGCAATATTTAAACTGGATATTAAGAAATTTTATTTGAAAAGAGTGGTTTAAGCCTTAATCCTGATATCCACCATTCTAAAGTTTTCAGCTCCGGTCATTTAAAAATATTTTGAAAAAATGCGAATTTTCATATATTCTATGTATCTAGGATGCATGAATAAAAGAGGTAACACGTATTTAAATTATTTATTTTGTGTGAATACTTCTGTATAATTAAGTTAAAAAGGAGAATGCATTACAATATGTAAATAAGTTATGAAGGAAATAAAAACATAATCATTTATAGATAAACTATTTCCCTTTAAGCCAGGGCATTCACGAAATTTCAGACAAAATTAATTATCATCTTGATTTTTTCAAATTATATACCGGGATACTCACAAAATTTGTGCAATCTGGTTGCTTTTGTTTTAGGCTTTCCAAAGAGCTATAAAATGTTGAAATCCAATGACGGTGAGTAGGTCTAAATATAGATTTAGTCTGGTTTAGGTAAAATAAGGCATTTGGGCAGTATGCCTAATGACTCAGCAGTATGTATAAAAGCTCAGCTTTTAGCCTTAAGTAATGTGCAAAATGGGTTAGTCAGAAAATTTGAGCTTCCTAGACAGTATATTCCTAGACAGTATATTCCTAGACAGTATATTCCTAGACAGTATATTCCTAGACAGTATAAATTATGAACAGTCGTCTCCGAAGTTTCATCCTTTGTGGGTATCCCTGTATTAGCTTAACAAATTTCATACTTTTAACTACAATGTCCGGCTTACTAGCGAGGGTACAGATAAAACTGTACATGGTTTAGATACAGAGAATGTACAAATAAAACCGTCCATGTTGTATATTCTACCAGGGAGTATACAGTGTACAGATAATACCGCACATGGTGTCTTTCAGGGAGTGTACAGTTTACAGATAATACTGTACATGGTGTATATTCAGGGAGTGTACATTGTACAGAAAATTTCGTACATGATGGTGTATATCCACTATCCAGGTTGTGTACAGTTTACAACTAATTCCGTACATGGTGTATTATACACTGTACATCTACATATTGAATGGAATGGCAGGATAAATATTATTGTGTTTCTGTTCAGGAAATCCATAACCGGCTTAATACTTTATAGAATATAGATAGATAGATATTTACATATACAAATATATATACATACAACGATAAATAGATACAGGAAGTACCAATAAACATATAGAGTATAATACTTAAAAAATATTAAATGTTACATTCCACTGCATACAAAATAAATGTTGGCAAAATATATTAACAACTATAGAAGCTGAAAAAAGTGTTAGCGTTCTACCGTAAGCCGTTTCTAAGTTGTAACGAAAAAAACGGGGAGGGGGTGCAGAAACCATCCCTACCCTAGTCGTTATAGGGTTAATGTCATACTCCCAAGTACTTAAAGTAATTCTCTAAAAAACATATTCACAAAAGATTTAATTTTAGGCAAAGATAAAGATGTGTCTGTCTTCACGTTTTGTTTGGAACACTCCGCCTGTATTTGTATCAGATATAAGTAGGTCTTATGTATAATTGAATCAGACCATTTATAGATACTTATGTATTTATATTTACCACTTTTTATACCTACAACCATATTGACCAAATACCACAAATAAACATATATTTGTATAGGTTCAGTTAATGGTTTAACGAAACTCATCTATCTAAATATTTTGCTTGTCTGTTTGTTTATAACCGATAAACGTCAAAACGGCTGAACCGATTGGGCCCAAATAGGGTTTCAAGTACAATAGTTGGCAACACAGAATACGTATACTTTTTGTACAGCTGTATATACGTCATAAGTGTCAACTCAAATTTTGTGTCTGGCAAAACTATGAATAAAAGTGATATTTTAAGACTAAATGCTTATCTTTCAGTGAAATTAGTGCAATTTTATGTGTTCTTTATTTCTGTTTTTACACTTTTTCATTTAACGTTCTATTGACTAAATAACGGGGTTAAAACTGATATTGTACATAACCCTTTAACTTTGTAATTTGAAAGTAGGATGTTTAAATAGTTCAGAAGATAAATTTGGAGAAGTGCTCTGGAAAGGGCTTATCGTGGATAAACCCCCAGATCCGAAGAAATACAGGCAACAATGAACGGTAATTTTCTAATGAAAAATCTCAGCAGAATCTTGGAAATAATGTCGTCTTTCTTTTTACTTTTGACACTTGTGACGTTGTGTGCAGTTGACTTTTGACACTTGTGACGTTGTGTGCAGTTGATCGATTTTTCTGTTGCCGTCTATTGTACTTGACAGCATTTGATTGGGCCTACATTTTTGTGGGACCTCACATGACTCCAGGGATGGTTTATGGATGGTAAGAATTGAAAAAATGGACGTTAACAAAATTTGCCTTTGTCAAAATCGATGAAAGAGCTACACTCAAAAGTTAAAACCTAAGATGGGCGTAAAGCGCCCTGGAAGCCTAGTTCCTAAAAATTCAGGTTAAATTTTTGTCCATTGATAAATCATTTCTTTGAGTCGATTGCGTTACTTTTGATTTTGGCAATTTGTAGTAATCCATTTCATGGAATCATAAGTTATAATTAAAACATCAAATTGTTGTTACATTTATTAAATGCACATTTTTTTCCGAAATAAAATTGTTTTCTAAAACTTGTTTGTGAAGTGTGTTCAGCCCTGTTTATTTGGATTAAATGAGCATGAAGGATAAAGCGCCCTCTGTGCTTGACAACTGAATCACACCCGATGATTTGTGGAAAATTGGAGCTTAGAGCCGAATTCTTGGAATAGAGGTGAGTCATGCGATTCATGCTTTTCTATCCAAACCAATTCATGTGTGGTTGCTTAAATCCGATAAGTTGTGGAACATGACTTCATGATTTAATTTATTGTATCATATTAGATCTTTGGTGGTCACTGGTCTAACATATCATGGACCATTTATCATTATTCTTTAAGTGTTGGGCGGTGTCTGAAGTTTTTAGATCATTATATTTTATAAGATATCTGTTATATTAAAGGAATTGAGTCTTTGCCACAAATCCCAATTTTCTAATACCTATATCTCTAAAACCAGATGTCGTAAACCTTTGATATTTCAAACTTTAATTATTTGATCCATCAGAATTCATAGTTTGAAATATCTAAGGTCTACAGCATTGGGTTGTACAGATAAAGGGATTAAAAAATCCGAGTTTGTGGTATTCAATTCCTTTGAAACTCCAGAAGGAACTTTTACGAGTCATAAGATTCTATGTATTTTTGACATCTTATAATTTCAATTTGCAGTCAGAGTTCATAAATTTGAATTTATATTTGTAATTTTGGTTGATGGTTTTCATATAAAGTGTTTCGGGATGCGGAGAAGGATCGATGCATTATCCCTTGCTTTTAAACTTGAGTACTTATTCTAATCTTTATTTTGTCGTATTTCATAATTGTCCCAATATTAACTGTAAATATGAACTAAACATTATCCAAAAAACTCTAATTTTCTAATCCCTATATATCTGTTTAACTTAATATTTCAACTTAAATTATATTTGAACACAAATAAGTTTTAGTTTGAATTTAAGGCTGCAAATATGTTAGAATTATAAAATTAAAAATCTTCACGTTTTCGAGTTATTTCCTTTATTTCTTCTGATTAGAAAATAAATAATCTAAAAACATTTTTTGTATTTAAGCTAAAATTGGTTTATTCACATTTATATTTACATTTATTCAGAGTTTGTGTTAAATAAAGGAATAAAGCTGAAAATTAAATTGAACTCTTTGATTTTAGTTAATTGTCTTATACGTAGGTGAGAGAACTTGGTGACTCATTTTTACATAGCCAATCCATACCTATATCTATGCCAACAAAAAAAGCAATTTAGTGGGAAAAAATTAAATTGAATATTTATATACAAAGAAGTTTAAGCAACTGTTAGAAGACGTGCAACAAAGCATAAGTATAACTAAAACCTTAAACCATTTTCTTAATTTTCATGTTTGGGATACTAGCTTTGCATCCAATTTATTCATATTCATAAAAATTGCAGCTGAGATATTCAATATTTCCATGTTTTCAATAGCAGTTCAGGCATGTAAACAAATCAGCATATTTTAAAAAAAAAATCAAATCTTTTATGTTTAGCATACTTATCTAGAAATATATACATCTCTAGATCTATCTGTCTGTAAATATATATATATATATACGAGATGATACAAGTAATGCATATGAATATATATATATACTGAAATGTCAAAGTTGATTTACTCAGTTTAACATCATTCAGTCTCTATTTAACTCTTCATAATAATATTGTTCAATTCTTCAAAAAAAATGAATTTTTGGAAAAATATTTTTTCACTTTTAGAATAAAACCGTACGGTTTGTTTCTTAAATTGAATTTACTAAAAAATAGGAACTTTTTGATCAAAATTACAAACAATTCAAAATGGTAGCAACAAAAGTTAATGAAATACATTCTGAGCTGAAAACTTTAGAATGAGATATCCTTAATCCTGATCGCTTAATCTGAATATCCAATACACAAACTTTTAATTTTATTCTTAATCCTCTTTTTTGGATATCCCTACTGAATAAAAGTTACGTTTGATAACAATTACAGATACAATGCTATATCGATTAAACTAATATCCAATTGAATTAAAGTCAGCAGTTCACAAGACGGCTTTTAGAGCATTTAATCAAATATAAATTTAATTATGTTAATATGAACTAAAAAAATATATTTTATCACATTTTAGGACTATCATCATTTTAAAAGTTAGTTCAGCTCTGTTCATGTTTGGTGGTTCAATATTTCTCACAATATGTTAAGGTTCAATATTTCTCACAATATGTTAAGGTTTAGCTTCTGATTCAGTGTTGACCAAGGAATGTTGCGAGGTGTACAACCTTGAGTTTTTATGTTTCTCATTTATAATAATTGGTAGATAGTAATAGGGGAATCATTAAATAATTATTCTGATTTATTGCCTTTACTGACAATAAAATAGGTATACAGTTTACAAACAGTACACAAAACAATAGTATACACAGAACACATACATTACAAAAACAGTACACACGGAATACGTTTAGATTTATAATAAAAAATCCAAAAGATCCAAAAGTAAAATGAGCAATATTTCAATCAAAATGGTAAATATGCTTAATGTATACATTTAATACTTTTATTATCGAACAACTTTTAGAAATTATAAAAAGAATGTTGGATAATTTCATAATTATTTTATATTCTCAACAGTCTTAACGTAATTTCAAAATGAATTAGATGAGTTCGATATTTTAAACATAATCAACATAACGTTTTAAAAAGATAATACAATATTATAATTGGGAATTATTTGGCCGTTATTTGGCCGTTATTTGGCCGTTCTTACTGCAAACCAAACAGAAGAAGGTTAGATTCAAGCCACATTAATTGTTCAACTTTGTGACCACGTGTTGATTTTGTGAGAAAGTCAATTTATCTAAGCTGAAAACTTTAGAATGAGATATCCCTAATCCCGATTACTTAATCTGAGTATCCAATGGTCACGCTTTTGATTTTCTTCTGAAACCACTCTTTCTTTGATATAGTAGAGCAAAATCAGAAACCGATTATTAAATTAGAGTGTCCCTCCCGTTTCTGTATATTAATCTTAAATAGCGCGCAAAATTTCAAATTATCGGCTTCTTATACGCAACTCTGATTGGTTGAATTTTATACACTTTTCTGGATAAAAGTACAAGATTAGGTTAGTTTCAATATTAAGAAAAAGAGAGGATCAAGCATTAATTTCGATAACCACCATTCTAAAGTTTTCAGCTCTAGTTACATATAAGAAATTCAAAGCATTTTTCTTCTTTTCTTCAAAGGAGTTATGATTAAAAACATATGAAATTTCATTCTTACGTGAAATTTGCTGTAGTTCAACGTGTGTCAGAATGTTTTAAAGCAAATCTACGAAGCTGATAAGAACAGATAATACACTTTGTTCTTAGCCAAAAGGCCGAGAAGCGTATGTTTGTTAACAATTATTATGATAAATCAATATATATTCTTTTTATTAACAACATGACCGCAGCACTAGGTCCCCTTAGTCTTTCCGAGCCGCAGCTTGCTATTGTTGGGGGGATGCGACCAAGGAGGGGGGGGGGGTGTCATAATATGTTTAATTATAGTTTTCATGAATTTCCGAGGAGTAGTTTTCAAATTTTTCTTATTTTTTTAATCATATATGTTTCTGATCCCAAGGGATATCCGGCATGATGTTTATCATTACAAATAAATTTTTCACAACATGCAACCATTTTTCAGTGTTAAACATACAAAAAAAATACATAATGTTGGAGCCAATTTTTACGGAAAAAAAGTAAAATTTGAAACAGATAAGTTTTTCTTAAGGAGATTCAAAATCTGATATGTGAGTGAAAACAAAGCAGTAGTATTTCTAAATAATAACTTCTATATCAATAAAGTAGTAATCTCTGTTTTGTTTGTTTGTATTGACTGAACAAAATTGATAAACCCCTTGACCGACTTGCCTCACAAATTTATTTGGGCTGAGCCACACAAAACAGAGTTGTGTGAGTTAACTTTTACTGAGAAAATGAAATTTCCGGGCAAAGTTGGATACCCAAGGTTATAGTATAAATATATAAGTATATTTCTTCATTGTATTGCTGTTTTAAATCCAATTAACAAAAGCATTTAAAAATTACAAATATTTAGCTTTAAATTATAAAAAAAAATGTTATGGATATCTAAAAAATTGTTATAACCCTAAAATCTGTAAAAAATTCGATAAAATTTTCGAAATTAATTATGTTCGATAGTGCGACGGAAATGTCTAAAAATATTTGCTCTCGTCGGTAATTATTTTTAAATGTAAATGTTGGTTCCCCTTGGTGACACGAAGTGTTTAATGTTTGTTTAAGAGATAACACCGCTGCGGCCGCGACAAAAAAAAAATACAAAGATAATAATTACTTGAAATTTTCTAAATTGAATTAGCGAATTTTTATTGGTGGTACCAGCGTTGACTTATAGCATCAAATTGTTTACCCATTTAAAACTTGCCATCCTGTAAAATGTCGATTTGAAGGTTACCATCTTTATAATTTCCTATTTTGATTTCTCTCTGGATTACATATGCAACAATAGGGCTGAGTATGTTCCAAATTATTCTAACCGTTTTGTGAAGGGTTAGTTCCAACCGTTAAAAAAGAAAATTTTAGGTAGCCGTTAGTTTTAAAGGTAAGAACGGAAAGTTTCACTTCTTCAACAGTATTTTCTACTTTTGTTTTTATTAAATTACCGTTTGTTAACGATCCCAATTTTTTTACGGTGTTAGCGGAAATATTCTGCCGTTAAGGTTAAAGGTTTTTTTCAATTAAGGTAATGGTTTGTCAAATTGTTAACGGTGCAAGCTGTTAACGGTGGTTTGTAGTATAAAAAGTGTTAACGATGCAAGCTGTTAACGGTGGTTTGTAGTATAAACAGTGTTAACGGTGCAAGCTGTTAACGGTGGTTTGTAGTATAAAAAGTGTTAATGGTGCAAGCTGTTAACGGTGGTTTGTAGTATAAACAGTGTTAACGGTGCAAGCTGTTAACGGTGGTTTGTAGTATAAAAAGTGTTAACGGTTTTCCAAAACTCTAAAATTTCCAAAAAAAGAATCGTTAACTGATTATGAAATTGGATTACAGCACAAGCCATATCCAAATTGAAAAAAATCTTTATAAGCTCCATCATATAAACATGGGGGGGGCTGAAGACGACATTTAAATCAAAATAACAGTTTTCTTGCAATTTTACCCGAAAAAATACGGAAATAGTTGTTAATGTTTTCGTATTCAACTGTTTTTTTTCAAAAACGGATAGTATGTTTTGTTAACATTTGTTAAAATAAACGTTTATGGCGTTCATTAACGGACCGTTATTTTCGAAAACCTCCATTTCGTTAATGATACTTTGCCCAGGCCCAGTATATGCAACAGTAAAATAGATATTTTAAAGTTACCATTGAAATAAGAGCATGTAACTCCTTAATTCACCTGAATTTACATTTACAGTCCCTTCAAATGTCTACTTTACATGAAATGCTTGGAATTATGATTAAAAAACATGAAAAAAACTTGGATTTAATTTTAGGTTTCTATAAACTACATTGACAAAATACAAGGTAGGAACTGGGAGGACGAATAGGAAATCTGAGCACGGGGAAATAATAATAGTTAAAATAAATACTAAATAGTGATAAGAAATGCATTAAAGTATGCAGATATGTTATTATTTTTATTTTTATCTTTAATCTATCCATTTTAAAAAAATGAATATTGATATTTCGTCAAACTAAAATCCTTATTTTAACTAAGTGTTGGGAAGGAGGGGAGAGAGGGGGGTTTGTACAAATATATTTTCTCTAAATTGTTGAACTATGCATTCGAGTATTGAGAACATTGAAGAGAATAATGAGAGGCTAAATGCTACATTAATATTATTTTCCGCATGCATCAAGGGCACACTGCACTTGGCCATGAAAAAAAAACACGGCTTTCGAAAAAAATTGCATTGAAAAGGGATTTTTTCTTGTTCGCGGTAAATTCAAAGGATTTTTTAAAGATAATAATTTATTTTATTAATTCATTAGTTTCATTATCACAATAAGATTGTTAAAGTCATATTTCTTTTTTCTATTTTTTTAGATTAGAATTAAAGAACGATTTGGATTGTAGTAACCTGGCGAGTGACATATTTTTGTCAGGATTATTGCAATTTGCTTATACATTTTTTACAAGAAAAACATCACGGGTCCTTCCATCATTACACCAGTAGAAAAGACCTAAATTAATTCCAAAAGTGAGACCGCGCTAAAATTCCAGATTGTCCCAGCTGAGTGCTGTGGCTAGGACAAGAAAAACACTTTTTAATAAAATTATATATAAAGAAAAAATGCTATACTGAACAAAATTAATAACAGTGCAAAAACGTCGAATGTCGAACAACTAAAAGTTTAGAAAAACGGAACAAAATAAATAACTGTGCAACAACGGCTAATAGATTCGAATATTGATTTACAAGAATTAAGAATGTTTGCGGCGAATGTGTGCTTTGTTTGGTAAAGGCTCTCAGGTTATGTTAGGGTGTTGCTTTGAGGACATTAAACTTTTAATATAATCTAAAACAGTTTTCTCACAATAAATAAATTACTTTTATTTTATTGTAAAAGACAATTTTCGATTGTTTTCCCATGTGTATTACAGTTTTTGATGTTTTCTAACTTAATTATATTTTTGTGCAAAAAAAACTAAATTCTCAGGAAAAAAGAAATAGATATTAATAATTGGTTGTAAGAAGCAAAAACCTATATCTTTGATTTTGTTTTTCAGATGACACATATAGAAAATTTAGATGATCCGAGAAGCAAAGATGACAATAACCAACACAAAAAAGTAAGAATAAAATGAAATGACAAACATTTAACAAGAATGTGCAGATGATATATCTCTGTAAGCTGCAATAGCGGTCAAGTAAGGAACGTATAGAATACCTATTTTTTTTAAATGTTTTTTTTTTACTTTTTTACTTTTTTACTTAATGTAAAACCTATCATTTTAAATAAAGACATGAATAAAAAATCAAAAAAAAATGTTTTAGGATGCAAATTATAGTGTTTTCTAGACTTTAGTGTCTTGGTGTATATCTAAAAAGAATATAGATGTTTTGAAAAAAAAAATCTGAAGTAAAAGTAAAGTAATATAGAGGACGTGGGTCAGACTCTAATAAAAACGCATAAAGTACTTCCAGTATCTATATATTTCTTTTAACTTATTACTAGAGGGTTCAGAACTTCAGAACATGAGTCTATATAAATATCACACATGTTAGACTGTCCGTCAGTACAATGCCCCGTATCCGTTCTATCTCATTCCGTTGAATCTTGTGGAACTTGTTTAAGGCGGCCAGGCATCGTCTTCCACAGTATATAAGTTTTTACAAAATATAGAAAGATAATATAATAAAGTCAAGCTTCTAAACTTTTTAACCCACTTGGAGAACATTACCTAGGTTTCTACCAAACTCCCCAAAGTTTGAGACAAATCGGTCAAAGGGTTCACAAATATGATTGGACTTACAAAATCTGTGCATTCGACTTACAAAATCTTTGCATCTGACCTACGAAAGTTGCGCATCCGACCAATGTGTGCAACCGGAACATCGATCCTTACGGTAACACTGTCAACTACATATCTGACTATATCTGTTGGATTAACAAAATAGAATGTACATCCGACCTACATGGCTGTCGTAGGTCCGATGTTGCGTAGGTCCGAAGTATTGTAGGACGGAAGTATATGTATAGGGAGGGAGGGGGTGCAGAGGCGCACACTACATTTGCAGCTCCAGGAGTAGCCGAGGTTTAGCTTATTAGCTCCAGGAGTAGCTGAGGTTTAGCTTATTAGCTCCAGGAGTAGCTGAGGTTTAGCTTATTAGCTCCAGGATTAGCTGAGGTACAGCTTATTAGCTCCAGGAGTAGCCAAGGTTTAGCTTATTAGCTCCAGGAGTAGCCGAGGTATAGCTTATTAGCTCCAGGAGTAGCAATAAATGAATGTGTAGCTGATTAGCTTCTGGAGTAGCTGTGTAGCTGATTAGCTCCGGGAGTATCTGTATAGCTGATTAGCTCCAGTAGTAGCTGTGTAGCTCATTTGCTCCGGGAGTAGCTATATAGCTCATTTGCTCCGGGAGTAGCTGTGTAGCTCATTAGCTCCGGGAGTAGTTGTGTGATTTGGATGTTTCTGAAGGCAGCCTCTGCATGAAGGAACCACAAGTCGGGGTCCTCTGTCTAAAAATCCGGAGCTTGACGGAGACTTTGGCGACGTACTCGGTTGGAGTTTCTTTCTGGTCCGTCATGATGCTCGGATGTATCACTTTATGTTCAAAGTTTAAGAATATCATGAAACTGGATAGTGTTTAACTGTATGTTCAAAGTCTGGGGTCACCAATATAGAGGACGTGGGTCAGACTCTAATAAAAACGCATAAAGTACTTCCAGTATCTATATATTTCTTGTAACTTATCTAGAGGGTTCAGAACTTCAGAACATGAGTCTATATCAATATCACACGGGTTAGACTGTCCGTCAGTACAATGCTCCATATCCGTTCTATCTCATTCCGTTGAATCTTGTGGAACTTGTTTAAGGTGGCCAGGCATCGTCTTCCACAGTAAAGTAAAAAATTATTTATTTATGAAATATAACAAAAACATACAAAATAAAGTGTTTCAGGAGAAAATATTTAAAAACCTCTAAAATTAAAGGTTGTGGGAATATTTCCCCCCAATTCTTAAAAAATATAAAAATATAAATAAAAGTAAAAGGAAAGGAAAGGAAAAGGAAAGTTACATATTTATTGTTTACACTATATTTAAATTTTTAAAATCAAAGAGTTGACTTTAAAGAAGAAAATGAAAATTGTTTATTTTTCCACTTTATTAAAATCAATTTAGCTAAGGTTTGTAATTTTTTACTGATCTTTCTGAGCTAAGCACTTCAAAATTGTAGATATTAAGATTAATGCTATAAATCTCTTCTTTTTGTCAATCTTATGATTATTTTAATCTTTAGTTTGTTTTTAAAAAAAAGTATCTAAAATGCAACCAATCAGGGTGTCGGTTGTAGACAATCAGAAGCCGGGAAATTTAAACTTGTGTGTGCCATTTAATGAGAGAACTCTTATTGGTCTAAATCTGACCGGTAGGATATTCAAAAAGAGGGAAAAGGGCAGATTAAGCAGAAATTAAAAGTGTTCACCATGTATACTCTGATTAAGCGAATCTATATATAAATTTGGCTTGTTTGTCTGTCTGTTTGTTTGTCTGTTTGTTTGTTTGTATCCAATAAACGTCAAAACGGCTGAACCGTTCGGGCCCAAATTTTTTGTGGGACATCTAGGGAGCCCAGGGAAGGTTTATGAATCATCAAAATTTCAAATATTTGTCTCTATCAAAATTCGATCGTCATTAAATTTTTTAAAATTTTGAAAATCCGCGAAATTTTTTGTAAAAATCCGCGAATTATTTTTGTTTAGTTTTACGATGTACACAAAGAGAACATGTTTACAATTAATTTAGAAGATGGGCGCGAAGCGCCCTCTAAGGCTAGAAAGAAGGGCGCGAAGCGCCTTGAATTTCTAGTGTTATTATAATTGGATATCAATTTCTTAAGTTTTGAGCTCTGAGCATATTTTTTAAAATATGAAAGCTTTCTGCAAATTATAAAATCTTTTTTTGTTTTTATTAATCTCCATAAAAAAAAGATTTAATATATATGAATTATTTTATTTAGAATGGTAATAAACAGCTGACTAAAGTATGTACAGTATGTGGAGGGGGAGCAGCATCTCACCTACACTACGGAGCAGTCAGCTGTTACAGTTGCCGCGCATTTTTCCGGCGTGGTATTGGTCGAACCTACACGTGTATTAACGATGACAGTAATTGTGAAATTGATTGTCAAACAAGAAGAAGCTGTCAGCTCTGTAGATTTAACAAGTAAAAAGGATTGATTCTTTTGAGATCTTGCTTACAGGGTTTAGATAGAAAAGTTTCTCACATGCTATAGTAATTCATGTTATGCACATTTTTGAAATTTTAATATGCGAAAAATTATCATTTGACCTAATTTGGTTAAACCTGAAAATGGTGTTGAATTACTTTTCATTAAAAACCGTCTGTTGCCAATTGAAAGTAAGATCCAACCTGACAAGTGTTTTTTTATCAGTTTAATGCATGGTATGACATTTAATTTTCCTTATTGACCCCCTGCTCTTTTTTTACAAATGATTATCCCTATTTAGATGTCTAAAGGTTGGGATGAGTGTTGGAAAGATCGAAGAATCTCCAAGGAGTCGGACAAGACGAGCCAGCTCCTGTTCTAGCAAGGATAGTGATACTCCAACCCAACCTGATAAATCTTCAAAACCAATTCTCATCCAGGGACTAAATATTTAAATATATATTTGGCTTGTCTTGGTTTTTGATAGTTTAACCAAACGGCAAAACAGCCCAACAGATTGGGTGGTGGGCTTTTATTTTTAGTTGTAACCCCAACCAACATATGAATGGCGGAAATTAACGGACGGTCAAAATTTAAAGAAATATTTTCTTTCTCGAAAATCTCCGAAATCAGTAGCGAAAAGCAACACCGAAAAAATGGCGCGAAGCGTCAAATAAGCTTAGTTTTATTCAATAAATCTTTATCTGTTAAGCTTGTCATCTTGGGTAATATTTCATAATGGCATGCCAAGCCCTAAAAAATATCCAACAGACTTGCATTGTCATTCCTCTGTCTTCTGTCATCTGTCTTTAAAATTAAATCAAATAAATAGGGTGTATAATCTGATGATTAAAGCTAATAATGATAAATATAAGACTCTAATCTCCTGTAGAACACTGTAATTTATCAACAAATACTTTTCTTTGATATGGCTTTTTGGTGTTTAAAGAGAATTATGAATATTTTATATTATTTCTTAATTATAAATTTACTCGCGTTTTTTTCTACAGTTAGAACCAGAAAACCATTGAATAGGATGACAACGCAATAATCATGTGTATTTGATGTTGTTACAAAGTAAATAGTTTGACCACAGTAACTTATTAAATGACTTATTGACTGAAATGGGATTTTCAAGACTTCATAACTGTTGTCTTATGTTCATTTGACTATTTGAAGTCAGAATATTGTCTTCCTATTTCTCACTGCTTGAAATTACAAACAGATGGTTAGAGATTTGTATGATTTCTTAAAAAAATTCTTACATAATTTCGAACAAAATTATTGTGTTTTCTAAATTATTTCAGTAGTTCGATGCTAAATACAAATTGTTAAGAGTTTTTCTTAAAAGTTTTGGTTTTACATGATTAAAAAAGTTGATCAATTTAAAATATTTGATAAGGAACTTGAACCCCTGGAACAGCCAGGTATTCTGCATCAGGTGCTGAAGGGAATATCGTTTAATGATCCTAGATCAAGTGTTTCAATAACACAGAGATGGAATTGTACTTTTCAACACTCAGGGAATCAGAAAAATTCGAATAAACACTTTTTTGTTTTTCATTATTTCCTCAATTTGAATTTCATATCTAGCTTGTAATAATGTTTACTATTATATCCACTACTTGATCCACTAATATAATAGCTTGCAAATGACAAAATCATTTTTTTTTCATTATTTCTTGAAAGATAATTAATTTTTCTAGAAAATATTAGTTCTTTTTATTATTAATTACTTAATTACTAATTTTATGACTTTGAAAAGATTTAGCAAAATAAATCACTTAATCATTAATTGTGTAAAACACTTGTAGTTTTTGATTTTATAAAAAGAAAATTGTAATGTAGCTGCAACCTCATAATCAAATAAAAAAAAAAATATATTTTTACAAAACATGAATATCATATTTTTTCAGCTTTATTACTAATTTTACAATGTTAAAAAAATGAAAATATTTATCAAAACAATATTTTTTTTATTTTTTTTTATTATTTTTCCAATTCTAAAAATTTTAAGATTAACAAATCAATGTCATTTGTTTCATTATTTTTCCAACTTTATATATTCCTTATTGTACAATACTTAATTATTTTTTTGATATTATGAACAGAAAATTCTAATGTAGCTACAACCTCATACACAGATCAATCCTCTTCTGCATCTGATAGTTTTTTTATTACAATGGGATGGGATACAGGGATATCATCAGCAAACTGGGAGACAGAATCTAATATTACAACATCAGTGGATTCCAGGTGGATTTTGTTTTTTGAAAATTAATTTTCAAATAATGATTTGCATTCATTCTTAACCAGTAATATGCTACTAAATAAAATTATTAGTTTAAGAAAAGGCATTTTTGTAGGACTTTACATTAACCACAAGATGTTTGCTTACTGCAATTCCCCCAATTGGCGGGTTCCCGGAAGAAATGGTCTATGAAAAGATTAACTAAGAGAACGACTTTCCAATAATTATTCACAATCTGATTTTAATCTTTTATGAAAAAAAGAAAGTTTAGTTTGTAAATGAAATTATCTAGCAGAAGCTGGAACTCAGGTTCAAGCTGGTCAACTAGAACAAGTACAGAGTCAAGCACAGGGTGGTCAACTAGAACCAGTATTACAGAGTCAAGGAAAGGCTGGTCAGATCCTTCCTTAATACCCAGCCCTAGTCCAGGTACACGTAGAGATTGAAATCGTTTTTGTGAATGAACAACATTTTTGAAAACTAAGAAAGTTTTAGTGAACGACCGTGTCTTTCAAAGAAAAATGAATGATGGAAGAACGCCTTGCATCGTTCCGAGAAACAAGAAACTAAGGCGTTTTGAAAACGAACGAAAAAAAAACAAAATCGTTTAAAATCGTTCAAACGAACGAAAAAAAAACTTTTGTTTTTTACTGAACAAACAAATATTCTAAAAGAGTTTGAAAAACTATCGTTTTGCACCTAAAGATTAATTTTTTGGAACAAACTTTTTTTTTACTAAATGAACGATTTTTTCGAACAAACTTAACAAAACTACTGTTTTCATTTTGTACTGAACGACAGATTTTATTGAATGAATGATTTGACTAAATGAACGATTTAATTTTGGAACGATTTATTGAACGACTGTTCAGTAAAAACACAAGCGGAATTAATTTTTTGTATGATTAAAAACGAACGCAGCAATCTCTACGTACAGGCCTGTCCCACAAATAATAGAGGTGATTAGAGTTCTTGGAAGTTATGAAGTTAAACTAGTGTCGGATTCAAATTTATATTCTCAAGAGGGTCTTTTTTATCTAAAATGGTTTGCTCGGACCCTATTTTGAAGAGGATGAAAATACTTTAACTAAGCGTAATTTTAAGTGAACCTCCATGCAAAGATGACAATGCCAGATTTAAAAAAAAAACGGTGGTGGTATCATTAAAAGCTTTGTCTGAATGGGAGCGTACGAGCGCATTTGTGTAGGGGGTGGGGGTGGGGGGGCACTTTTTTGTGCGTGTGAACAAATTTAGCAACATTGGGCCCACCCATTTTTGAAAAAATGTTGATACCTTTTTTAACTATGTAAACTATTCGATCATATACACACTTCCATATAACAAGTGTTAATAAAATATTTATGTAATTTTCTTAAGTGGACTCATCAGACACTTCCTCTTAATACTGTTGTGTAAGTTTCAATGGGTGAAAAATAGAGATGGAAACGTTTCTTAAAAAATATCTTTATATATATATTTTTATAGAAAAGAAACATCAAACACGAAAGGCAGTATATTGATTAAAGCTTTTTTTATGAAATTTTTTTAGTGAAGGACAAAAGTGAGATCTTAAAGTATTTTTATATGGGTGCCGTTCGTTAACGCACTCTTCCGTTAATTTTCGAAAACAGCTCCGTTTCGTTAACGGAACTTTTCCCAGCCCTACCGGCATATCTTGCTTTATTAAAAGAGACAATTGAGAAATTGAATTAAATTAAAACAATTACATTTTTGATCAGATTAAGGTTTCAAGGGTATTATTGACAAAAAAAAAAACTAAAAGTGGTCCACCCAAACAACCTTACCTTAACTTTGGGTTTGCATCTTACAAATGTTTAGGGTTTGATGATGTGACGTCAATGTTTGGACTAGGTGTCACCCTGTCTACTGGAAAAGATGAAAAGCCCTCTTCATGTGGCTCTAGAAACCCCATTTCTCCAGGTATGCTGAAAAACTATTTGGATTTTTGGATCACATGTCTTTTTCGCCTTCTTTCTTTCATAAGGTAACCACACGTTAAATGTGTATATCAATGGCATTATTGGCGTTAATTGTCAATATTTATGTATTAATTAATTTTTAAAAAGACGACATTCAAAACATAAACACACACATTAATTTTTTTTCTTCCGGTTTTTGCAATTTTCAGCAGAAAAATTGACTGAAGTTGCTCTTACTTTAAATCGCATCCGTTAGTTCTTTTTTATTACCCGTTTTTCAAAATAAAATAAATATCCTTAAAACTATATTGTTGCTTTTCAGATGAAGCTGAAGTAGAGTTTACCGATATATTCTCTGTACCTGTTCAAGGTACAGCTGGTAATATTGAACCCTCTGAATATTCCACCAATCCTACACAAGATCACAACTCTACCAGTCTCACATATATTACAATAGATGCTTATGATATTACACCTATTTTAAATCAAGGTAATGTTTTCAAACATCTGAAAGGGCCTGAACTGTCGTTTTATAAAATGACTTTTCATCGATACTATTGTATGCAGGGTTTTCAATCGAAATTGTGCAGAATTAGGCTCGGATTGCGCGGAATTGCGCGTAATTACAGGGCTCGCAATTGCGTGCAAGTAATATCCATTTGCGTTAGAAATCCTAATTGTACAGTACTGTACTGTACAGTTAGAAACCCTAATTGTACATTACAGTACTGTACAGTTAGAAACCCTAACTGTACAGTACTGTACTGTACAGTTAGAAACTCTAATTGTACATTACTGTACTGTACAGCAAGAAAACCCTAATTGTACAGTACTGTACTGTACAGAATAGAAACCCTAATTGTACATTACTGTACTGTACAGCAAGAAAACCCTAATTGTACAGTACTGTACTGTACAGCAAGAAACCCCTAATTGTACAGTACTGTACTGAACAGTTAAAAACCCTAATTGTACAGTACTGTACTGTACAGTTAGAAACCCTAATTGTACAGTACTTTACTGTACAGTTAGAAAGCCTAATTGTACATTACTGTACTGTACAGTTAGAAACCCTAATTGTGCAGTACTGTACTGAACAGTTAGAATTCCTATTTGTATGTAATGTACTGTACAGTTAGAAACCCTAATTGTACAGTACAGTACTGTACAGTTAGAATTCCTATTTGTATGTAATGTCTATCGTTCTTTTATCTAATAATTGATAATTTTCCATGTTTCTTTGTTATAATGACTCGCAAATTAGATTTCTTGCGGCAAACAATGATTCAATAATTCCTTATCTTTGCAACCCGATGATGTAGATTTTTATATTTTTCTAATTATAGATTCTGTTAGATCAAATGGCCTAATTCTTTAAATCAAAGGTTTACAGCATCAGGTTGCAAAAATATAGGGATTAGACAATTCGAGTTTGTGACAAGAACATATAAATTCCTGAATGCAGGGCTACATAGCTAAAAGAATTGATCAATTTTAAGATTGGAAACCGAGGATATCCTTTAAATTGTGATTTAGAAAAAAGTCTGAAGTAAACCATTGGTATGTGAATCTTTAAATGATATCTGCAGAATGGGTTACATTTCATTTTGAAGAACCATTTAAAGCTGGACTGTATGAGAATTTCGAGTGACCCTTCATGCAAAGATTACAATGCCAGATTCACAACGTTGCCCTTGAATTGAAACCTTTATCTGCTCAAAAATTTGGAAGATATTGTCGTTTTTCTAGGTTTAAAGTATTTTATTCTGATAATTTCAATATGTTTTTTCCGGCAGTAGAAATGCGCGAGTCACTTTTACAGAGAAACCACAACTAAAAGTTACCAGCTCTTAAAGTTTTGTACGTTGATATCCTATTCATACTTGATCAGACAATGGCTTTAGCAACTCCATTGTGAATCGGGTAATGCCATCTTTATATTGGGGTCACTTAAAGGGACCGTTCACTTATTTGGGTAATTTCAGGGTAAACTAAACAGCCTATTCGCTTTTGATTGGTAATAGTCTTACTTTTCAAAGACAACTGGTGGCCAAAGAAAAAGTCGATTTTTAGTTCAGAATTTGAGCAGAAAGGGACGGTCCCTCTCTATAAACACTAATTGATGTTTTTTTCGGTAACATCAGCCCAATAACATTTAAATTTATCATATTTTAATGTCATTATGTGTTTGTTATTATGTACTAAAATACGAAAACTTTTTATATTTGAGTTAGCAAGAAATTTACGTTTTTCGTATTAAAACATGTAAAATGTGTATTCAAAGACGACGTCTCTACTACAATCAATTAATCATTACTCGTATATTTGGTTCGTAGATTTTGTAGATTTTGTTCCCGTATGTGCACAACTTTTCATTTGTCATGCCGCGTTCAATTCAGCTTTTTACACAGGCAATACCAATTTTGAATGCAACAAAATAGTGTTATTTTAGAAATAGAAAGTTAAAAAACAAAAAAAATACTAAATAATGACATTTACAATTAACGATTAGATACTACAGTTTAATTTTATATTCGAAATTTATTTTGATTCACACCATACTAAAAAAGCATCAATTAGTGTCTATAGAGAGGGATCGTCCCTTTGCGCTCGAATTCTGAACGAAAAATCGGCTTTTTCTCCGGCCACGGTTGTCTTTGAAAAGTAAGATTATTACCAATCAACAGCGAATAGGTTGTTTAGTTTATCCTGAAATTCCCCAAATAAGTGAACGGTCCCTTTAAGATTACATTTACAGTTCCTGTAACGGATGGTCCAAGGGGGTCCTGACATTTATAATATCCAATATTTTAAATGTTTTCTTGTTGTTTAGACGACAGTATTGTTTATATTGGATCAACTGCACAGACAGACATAAACTCCTGCGAACAAAGAGACACAGAGCAGTCCAAACTCAATATCGAAGATCTTGTGGATGAAGTGTTTTCAAACCCAAACTGAAGAATCATGTTTACAAGGTTGGATTGAAGATTACAGAAAAACAATTGTACAAAATACTTGAGGATTAAATAATTATACTTTTAAAAATAAAAAAATCTTTATAGTCTTACTTTAAACATTTTCATGAATAAAAGTTAATATTAAAAGGAATTTTTCATTTAAATAACTGCACTATCCAATTTACAATTCCGGTAACTGTTTTTTTTGAGACATATGAGATGAAAATTAAAGATTTGTTATAGAAACAAGTATTATCTCTATAATTTATGCTCAGAAATAGGTGTATCAGTCATAATAAATTAAAATGATTGAACATGAAAACCCCTGATGTGATATAAAGAGCTAGTCAAAAGGTTTAATTTAATTTTAATGATATTCACCGTTAGTAATTTGAATAGTTGAAAATATTAAAATTCCTGGATCCGAGTTTTCAGATTTTTCAGAGTTCTCTTTTCAATCATCAAAGGATTTTTTCTTTTATCTCTTAATACAAAATATATTGTGGTGTATATAAATCTATAAATATATATTGTGGTTTATATAAATCTAGAAATATACATTGTGGTTTATATAAATCTAGAAATATATATTGGTTTATATAAATCAAGAAATATATATTGTGGTTTATATAAATCCAGAAATATATATTGTGGTTTATATAAATCTAGAAATATATATTGTGGTTCATATTAATCTAGAAATATATATTGTGGTTTATAAAAATCTAGAAATATATATTGTGGTTTATATAAATCTAGAAATATATATTGTGGTTTATAAAAATCTGGAAAATATATTGTGGTTTATATAAATCTAGAAATATATATTGTGGTTTATATAAATCCAGAAAAAAAATATTTCTTTTATGTGTTATTTTCTATTCAAAACATTTTAACTAATTCTTGATTCCAATCATAACCAGCATTAATTAAGAACTTTAAATCAGAAATATTGTTAAAGATTTTTTTTTCACAAGGGGTTTAAGGATATTTTTTAGTTACCCTTCAAACAAAGCTAGCAATGTCCGATTCACAACGGTATTTTAAAAGCTTTGTCTGATCAAGTATGAATTAGATATCAATGTTTTTGTTCTGTTGAACTGTTTATTTTCATTTGTGGTTTCATTGCGAAAGTGACTTGTGCAGTATGTTTTTGCTTATAAGAAACAATGGAGAAACTTACAGAAGTAAACACTTTTCCAGTCAGAAAAACGACGATATCTTCCACATTTTTTATCAGATTAAAGTTTCAAGGGTTATACCGTTGTAAATCAAACATTGCCTTCTTTGCTTGGAGGGTCACTCGGAATTTCGCTTACAGTCCCTTTAAAGTTTTTACTTTATACATGACAAAAAAGTACATGGGTAGAATATTTTGTGCGGCATATCTGGCCATGATCTTAAACGTTTGATCTTGATATTTAACGTGGGCACTTTTTATTCGAGGATAAATTCTTATTCTCTCAATTCAAATTATCCCTACATGGTATGACTATTCTCAAAGAAAAATTGAACCCATCATGAAGGTCTGCATGTAAGACGAAGATATCAAAGCTTGATATTTACGCTACAAAGGTTTTGACTTCAGGGATATTAAAAGGATATTGTAAGCGAAATTACAAGTGACCTTCATGCAAAAATGACTCATTTCACAATGGCACCCTGACCACTATTATCTGCTTTAAAATTCGGTGATGGTGATGGACCAAACCTCTGTAGAGTAAAAAAGTAGATGTTAGTTCCACATTTATTTAAAATATATTTCGGTCTGGGTTGACCCTCGTCAGTTCTAACGATATAATAACCATCAAAATCGATAAAAAAAAATTAAAAAATGTAAAAAATCACAAGAAGATTATTCAAAGTAAAAATTTGGGCTGTCAAATGGGCATAAGATCATGAGATGGAAAAAAAGATAATTTGCAAATATTCACTTTAAAAAAAATGTTTTAAGACAATTATTATTCCTTGAGATTGTTTCTGTCGCAAAGATTAAAAACAAACTGTGTAGAATTGGACATAAAAATCCCTTTTTTTTAAAAAAACATACTGAATTACAGTTAACAATTAAATAAAACTGTTTTTTTCTGTTCATTCCTCTGAGTTCAGTCATAAAATCTCACTATTATCTAATCACTATTGTGGAATATATTATCGTTTTTGTATAGGCTTAAACGTGTTTAACTCTAACGATTTCTTTATTTTTTTCTGCAGTAGAATTGCGGAAGTCGTTTTTGTCCAGAAACCAGTTGAAAATAATCAGATTACAATGCTGTAAATAGGAAAGGAACAAAGGTACAAAAACATTGAGACTCTAATTTATACTTGATCAGACAATGCTATGATAAATACCGTTGTGAATCGGTCATTGTCAAGGTCACTTAAAATCACGCTGAAAGTCCCTTTAAAAGTTTCCAAAATTACGCTGACAGTCCCTTTAAAAGTTTCCAAAATTTTCAGATTTTCTTAATGTTTTAAATCTTATAAGTAAAGGAGTTGATTCTTTGCCACAAACTCTGATTTTCTAATCCCTATATCTTTGAAACCCAATGTTGTAAACCTTTAATACTCCAAGCTTATATTATTTGATCTAACAGAACTCATAGTTTGACATATCAAAGGTCTACGACATTGGAATCTAAAGATATAGGGATTAGAAAATCAGAATTTGTTGCAAAGACTCAACTCCTTTTAATTATTAAAACTGTTTGACAAGTTTGCACATTATTATGAGTGAATGGTTGTTTTTTGCTTTCATGATTCTGCATTAATATTGTAAAGGATTTCTAAACCAAGCCTTGGTGCCAGTTCTATAGATGCATTATTCAATTTGTTTTAACAATGACTTTCAATCCTTTCTTGTTGCCTACTGGTTAATTGGTAAAATATGAAATGTATTTAAAATAGATATATTTTTATTAAGCAGTAATCTTTGATTGTTTGAATTAGTATTATAGTCTGTTTGTTTGGATGTCCAATTATAACTAATGAACCCCTGGATCACTTTGCCTCAAATTTTGATTGGGAAACTTGATTTAACCTTGGTATTGTGTGCTTCGCGTATAGAGATGTTAACATTTTCATTTTTTTTATAGAAAGATCGTTTCGTTATGAAAACGGCGACGAAAAATCGAAAACGAAACGAAATGGTCGTTTTTAAAACGATGGTTTTCAAAACGACCGCTTTTCAAAACGATAGTTTTCAAAACGATCGTTTTCAAAGCGATCGTTTTCATAAAACTCGTCGTTTCGTTTACGATCGTTAACGACGAACCTAATTAACATAATTATCAATAAATGTTTTTTTAAACCCGATCATTTTTTCAAAAGCGATCGTTTTTTTTTAAAAACAATCGTATAAAAAACGGTCGCAAATCGTTTTTTTTTATAAAAACGATCCTTTTCGAACACGATCGTTATTGGTTTTTTAAAAATTCAAAACGATTGAATAACGAAACAAAAAACTATCGTTTTCAAAAACGATTAACAACCCTATTCGCGTATGGTTTTCTTATTTGAGTCGATTGATTAATTAAAGGTGAGAACTTGAGGCCAGGTTTCAAGCTAGTTTAGTACTTGAAGAGAATTGATTACTCGCTACAAAAAAAATCATTTAATCTCTAAATCTTTGCAACCTTTAATATTTTAAACTATGAATGTGCACAGATCAAAACGTTATAACGACTGAAAGTTCAAAGATATATATATCAATATATGTTGCAAATATTTAGTTATTGGAAACTTACACTTTGCTGAAGTAATCAGTTTCTTTATTCATATATAAGACGATTAACAATTATTTACTCAATTCATTTTCTTTTAATCTAATGTATATTTAAAAACAGGATGTAAAGTAACAAGTGTCACACTCACATATTAATATTGTTAAAAAATAAAAATAAACTAATACATTTTTTTTTTATTTTTCCGACGCAGTTTTTGATTTTTTTAAAATCTCCCTGATAACAATTAAAGTTAGAAATATTTTTTTAAGCGGTCTTGTAAAGCTGGATTTGTAACATGTATCTAACTCCTCTATCTCAACTCTAAGGCCAAATCATATTATTTGTATTTCATAAATATAAATCTAAGAAAATGTTAATATTTGTAATGATAAGTTTGGTTCAGGGTATCCGAGCACGATATTTCAATGATTTAAATCAGAGTAAATAATGACAAAAATGTTTGTATATATGACTACAAATGTCTTCGCAATGACAAAAATGTTTGTATATATAAGTATAAATGCGCCTGTGCAATGACAAAAATGTTTGTATATATGACTACAAATGCGCCTGCGCAATGACAAAAATGTTTGTATATATGACTACAAATACGCCTGTGCAATGACAAAAATGTTTGTATGTATGACTACAAATGCGCCTGAGCAATGACAAAAATGTTTGTATATATAACTACAAATGCGCCTGCGCAATGACAAAAATGTTTGTATATATGACTACAAATGCGCCTGCGCAATGACAAAAATGTTTGTATATATGACTAAAAATGCGCCTGCGCAATGACAAAAATGTTTTTATATATAACTACAAATGCGCCTGCGCAATGACAAAAATGTTTGTATATATGACTACAAATGCGCCTGCGCAATGCGGTTAAACAAAAATATTGAGCTGAAGGGCCTGTCGTAAAAATCTACTATGAACTGTTATAATAGAACACATCGCAATGGATATGGGATTTATAAAAAAGACTAAAGATTTTTTTTGTATCTATCATTTGAAATACCATTTTATAGGAAGTAGCAAGGTTTTAATGCAAGGGAAGTTAGTTTTAGTTGCATAGATGCATCAGTGTTCGTTTAGTATCCAAGAAGGTTAAAAGCATTAAACTTTGATAATTTTGATGATTCACATAATAGTTTCCTATGACTCGGGTTAACATTTTGCAAGTGATGCATTGGTGAAAATTTATAAGGCCTACGAACATCTTATGAAAAGTTTATAAAATTTGGAATTAAAAAAATCTGTTTTAAGATTTATCCAGAACTGATCAATATTAAAAGCAATAATAAGATTATATTTAAAGTTTTACGTAATTACTTAATGAACATCAAAGAAACACATATGTTCACATATGTTTATTTCCTTGAATACTGTTTGATATCATTAAGATACACAGGCTGGGCATCCTTTGGGTTTAGCTCAGTCCAGATGTCATCAACGAACAGCTTATTTGAGCCCCTTGGTAACTCAGCAATCTGCTGATTTGAGTCACGTGGTATTTTGTGAAACAGCTGATTTGTTTCAATAATTACCCTGATCTAGAATATAAAATCTTCTTGATTAAATGTTTAGTTTCATCAAAAAAAAATTATCCAATTTTTCAGAATATTTTCTTATATTTTACCCAAGTTCTAAAATGGCCTACCTCGCCAATAAAATCATCAAAGAAGAGATCCTTATCCATGACCTGGAGAGCCAACGTGATTCTATCTTTTTCACCAATCTGCAGTAGATTATTTCATTGCAAAATTCATAATTACAAAAATAAAGAACAATCTAATGGTATTTTTACAATTTCCCTTTCCGACCCAAATTGTCCTTTTTTAATCTCTGTGGCCGGGTCAGAGAGGGAGGATTGAAACAACCCCCTTGATTGCGCCTCTGATAATTAGGATTAAAAAATTCTTACTATTTTAGTTTACCAATAGGGTTTTGTGTCATTATTCACATTATTTGAAAAATTTCAAGATCATTCGAAACAACCACAAATAACTAGTGTTTTCAATTTGAATTCCGCAGCGCAGAATTACGGAATTGTGCGGAATTGTGTACAATTGTGCGAATTGTGTGATGAATTGTGCGGAAGTGTGTACAATTGTGCGGTATTCCACGGAATTCATCATCGTTGACTATATTAGGTGCATGCAGCAGGATTTAAAATATTTAAACTATCCAATTATCAATAAGTTACAAAGATATTATGATACATGAAACAAACAGATTATGATTTCCCTGATTAAAAAATTTAATTGTTTTTTCTCTTGGTTTACTTTTATTACAAAATTAACTTACGTCGAACTGAAAGGTTTCGTTGAAATCTGGATTCAGTTTCTTCGTCTTAGCTTTGGTTCGCAATGGCTAGAAATAAAGTTTTTAAATATTACTGCTTTTTTGATAAAAAAATTAATGAAAAAACTAAGTGAATTGAATTTAATAAATTGATCATGAATCTAAAAAGAGTAATAACTGTTTTCAAAGATTTAAACTAAAAAACTAAGGATGAATTAATCAATAATATTAATCTATTAATTGTTAAATCAATTGGTAATCAATCAATTGATTAATGATTATATAATGCAGTTAAAATATATATCTAAGAACAAGGAAATTGTTAATTAATTTTTTTAAACATTCATGGATTAACCAGTAAAACATAAAGAGATAATTATAATTAAGATTTAGTTAAAACGACAATTTTATTCGAAAACGAAAACAATGTTAAATAAATCTCAAAATGTTGATAAAAATAAATAATCAACCTTACAAGATTCCTCTTCAACCTTCACTGTTACGTATGGATCACAGCTCCCTCTGATGAAATCCTTGGATGGCAGTTCCTAAATTGTTAAAGGGTTTCTAATCTCCAATAAACATTAACATTGGGAACTTAAACATGAATATTTTACTGTGAACTAGATAGAAGGAGAAGGTCAGATTCACGTGACTATACTGGTACAACTTTGTGACCCATCAGTACCTCTAGTTTTATTAATTTTTCGCATATGTATGAGAGTACCAAAGGAATGGAGTCTTTACCAAAAACTCTTATTATTATTGGAAACCTGCATAGCTTTGCAACCTGTCGGTGTAAACCTTTTCATTAAGATTAATTGATCTGGTTACATATTTAACTCAATTCCATTATCTGAGCTGAAAACTTTAGAATTGTGGATATCAAGATCAATGCTTGATCTCCTCTTTTTCTAAATCTCCTGAACTGAAAACTTTTAAATGGGATATCGTTAATCCCGATCATTTAATTAATCTGGAGATTAATAACAAAAGAAGAACAAGCCTTATTTAATCATGAGATAAAGAAAAAGAGTGGATCAAGCATTAATCCCGATATCCAGAAATCAAAAGTTCCCAGCTCTGATTTAATAATCCTTGTTCTCCTTTAGTTATCAATCTACAGATTAATTAACCGATCGGGATTAATGATATCCCATTCTAAAGTTTTTAGCTCTGGTTACATATTTAACTCAATTCCATTATCTGGTTACATGTTTAACTCAATTCCATTATCTGGTTAAATATTTAACTCAATTCCATTATCTGGTTACATATTTAACTCAATTCCATTATCTGGTTAAATATTTAACTCAATTCCATTATCTGGTTACATATTTAACTCAATTCCATTATCTGGTTACATATTTAACTCAATTCCATTATCTGTATACATATTTAACTCAATTGTTTATTATCTGGTTACATATTTAACTCAATTCCATTATCTGTATACATATTTAACTCAAATTCCAATATCTGGTTACAAATTTGAATTTCAAAACATTCTTGTTCTTTTCAAAAACGAAATTTAATCATAAATGCAATTTTCTTTATCTTGACGTGATGTTCTATCCAATTGTTTTAATTTTAAAAATGTAATTTGTTTTAAAATGGCAACATGCCAATTTCATCAAACCAAGAAAATGCCAGGTCAAGTGGAACACAAATAAATTCAGTCAGTAAATATGTTTAGAATCAATTTTTGTAATTTATCATAAAAGAGAAACTTTTTTCTCCAATTATTATATTTTTATATTATGCTTAAATTTCCTTTTGGAAAAGTTTAAAATTATTTAAGCATCATTTGTTTTCTAATATCTTACTGTATTAAAGACCAAAACAAAGCTTTATACAAAAAAAATAAAATGGATTTTTATTTAACTTTCTATAATTTATTTTTTTTTACCTCACAACCCTTTACACACACGAAGAAGTGTTGGTCTTCCTTCCAAATCTGAAAAATTAGAAAAAATGTAGAATCTATATTCATACAGGCTATAGAGACGGCAAACGTTTATTTTTATTTTTCTTTCGTTTTCTGACCGAACGATCGTTCGGTAAAATCGTTCTTTCAGTAAAATTGTTTGTTTAATAAAATTTTCCGTACAGAAAAAAAACTATCGTTCTTAAAAAGTTTGTTTTTAAATCAGTCATTCGGGAAATACACTATATATATATATATATATATATTATTTTTTTTAAATTAAAAAGTTAAACTTTTTTATCGAAATTACCTTAAAATGTATCCAGCCAAGTCCTAGTTTACTTCTACCCCTCGGATGAATAAGATTATGAGGGGCACTAAATTTTATTAATTTTCATCAAGGTTTTAACCCTAAACAGGCTGGAGGGCGGGCGTTTGGCGCCCCCCCCCTCTAGTTTGTTTTGCCCTAACACTCTCATTTTTAAACTATTACCGTGAAATTTTTTTACTTTTACTAAATAGAAATTTGAAGGACTTTTTTATTTCTTTTTATTCTTAGAGTAGGGTAAAGAGCGGTAAAAAGTCTGGTCTGTGTAATTGATATATCAAAAGTAGCCCATGACTAAAGCTACAAATATAAAAACTATATTTTTGAAAAGCCCCTGAAAAATGCATGTAGAAACACGTGTCATCCTTTGAAAATTTTTTTAAACAAAAAAATGTAATATATAATAGCACCCAAACTATATAAGCTGGCCTAGAAAAATTGGGCTATGAACATGCATTTCAACCTTACTCCTATTCTATATGTACTTTTTCTAGGGGGAGCGGGGAGCCCCCCTATACAATATACATAGATTCATATCACCCCCCCCCCCACCTTTATAGGGTTAAAAAGATAATAATTTTTGATTTTGTTTACTTTTATTATATGATCCTTCATAAAAATTCCAGTACAAAATATTAGTTAATCAGTTTGGAATTTATGTTGATTTTATGATTATAATTTTAAAGCCTTCAATCTAAAAATAAAATTAGCAAACAATGATTAACGCTTTTTTAAAACGTAAATATCTTTGTAGTTTGATGGTGTAAACCTTTGATATTTCAAACTTACAAACTTAGATTATTTGATCTGAGAGAATTCATAGTTTGAAATTTCTAAGGTCTAAACGACAATGGCTTGAAATGGTACAGGATTTAGAAAATTAGATTGTTTGGGAAAGAATATTTTTGGCAAAGACTAAATTCCTCGGTCATAGAAGACGGTTGAGTTTCGAAAACGTTGATCTTGAATCCCTTTGTGCCCCTGAACACATGACAGGTTTTGAACCCCTTTTTGCCCATGAACACATGACAGGTTTTGAACCCCAATGTACCCATGAACACATGACAGGTTTTGAACCCCTTTGTGCCCATGAACACATGACAGGTTTTGAACCCCTTTGTGCCCATGAACACATGACAGGTTTTGAACCCCTTTGTGCCCATGAACACATGACAGGTTTTGAACCCCTTTGTGCCCATGAACACGTGACAGGTTTTAAACCCCTTTGTGCCCATGAACACATCACAGGTTTTGAACCCCTTTGTGCCCATGAACACATGACAGGTTTTGAACCCCTTTGCGCCATGAACACGTGACAGGTTTTGAACCCCTTTGTGCCCATGAACACATGACAGGTTTTAAACCCCTTTGTGCCCATGAACACGTGACAGGTTTTAAACCCCTTTGTGCACATGAACACGTGACAGGTTTTGAAAGTTCTTTCCTGTAAATGGTTTTATCTTGAGGATTTTTCTTTATTCTGTTGAACGTGAAAACTAATAATTTTTATTTGGATGAGTGTTGTGTATATATAAGTGCACACCTCTTGTCAGTAAAATTATATTCCTTGTGAACTATTTTAAAGTTATTCATGCAAATCTGCTTTATTGCAAATATCTAAAATTTTAAAATTTGTGAAATTTGAACATCGCGAAACTTCATATATTACTCTTATAAAGGGACTATAAGCGTAATGTTATGCGACCCTATATGCAAAGCTGGCAATGCCTGATTTACAACGGTACCATCAAAACCTTTATCTGATCAAGTATAAATGAATTTCAATGTTTTTGTTTCTATAAATTGTTTATTTTCATTTGAAGTTTGTTCTGCGAATTTAATTTTGCATTTTTTTCACAGAAATAGGCACTTTTTGAGTCAGAAAAAAGACGAAATAATCTTTCATATTTTTGATCAGATTAAAGGTTTGCATACCGGCATAACTATCTTTGCATAGAGGGTCACTTGAATTACGCACCTTTAAGTTCAGTTTAAGATTCGGGAATATCAACGATATATCTAAAATATATTATGAATTATTAAAAATTTCGTAGAAGGAATTGAGTCTTTGTCAGCGAGAACTTTATATTTTTCATTTACTCTTATTTATTGTTTTAGTATTAAATTCAGTTTTCTTTGATGAATTTCCTAGATTGGGTTGAAGCTGTACTAGCTATGGAGTTTCTTGAACTGTCCTGGGAGTGAAAACCTACAGTTCCGACGTCCCTAAGCAAAGATTATTTTTTCATTTTTCTATAATTGATTCAAAAAAAAAGTAATTTGACAATTTTGAATATTTATTTTTGTACAACAAAAGCTAAACTAATTCCAATTGACAAAAGGAAGGCACTCCAAGTTAGATAAAACGACTTTGTGACCTCTAAGTTCCTTCAGTTCAAATTTTACGCATATTTATACTTGGAAAAAAAATTTGCAATATTTGTTATATTTACATGTTTTGTATTTACCAAAATAACTACAGTAAGCAAAGGGTTTGAGCAAGGTCTGGAACAAAGAGCAAAGACTTTTACTTTCAGCCTATAGTTTATAATTTCAGTCACAATTACAATTGCAAAATAATTGTATTATTTGTTTCATTAAGATGATTTTATACCTGGAATCTATAGAATCCCTGGATGATAACGACCTTGATGAAGAACTCATAATTTTTTTTCTTTATCTTGAAAACAAAACAATGTTTCATTTATTTGATTGATACATTTTGGCGCATCCGGCCATTTATATTCATGGAAGAAACTGAGTCTGTGCAGAAACTTAAATTTTCCAATCCCTAAATCTTTGCAACCTAATTGTTTACATATTTGATATTTCAAACGTTGAGCATTTGAACTAGAATGCTTTTTTTTGTGAAAATTCTAAAGTTTACAGCATTGGGTTGAATAGACATAGGGATTAGAAAATATGAGTTTCTGGTAAAGACTCAATTTTAAGTGGACCTTCGTTTTCAGGGTCGCATATATCCGATTAACCATTTAAAAAATTTAAAGATTTTCCCTATAGGAGTTTAATCAATTTTCTCCTCGCAAAATAAGGATAGCTCCGTCGTCCTAAACCAGACAACCAATCTTAAAAGGGTACCATTGTCAATCAGATTTGCCACTCTAAAATTAGGTCTGCAGTCTTTTTAACCAGAAACCGTGAGCTGTAGTTTTTTTTGAAAATCTCTCAAATGTTTTGTTTCGTAATATTTTGTTTATGATTGTTTGCTTGAAAAGGACTGGAACAAACTAATAAAGTTTTCACAGTAATTAAATAATTAAGTGAAACAGTAAACTCAGAAATGTTTACTTTGCGATAATAAAGGACACGTTTATAGGGTCAAATAATGTTTTTTTTTTTAAAAGCTAATTTTGATAATGATAAATGTAATAAATATCGCGGGTCACATGATATTCTGTAAACGTGCAGTACATTATTGTTAACCATTAACTTTAAGGCCTCTGTGTAATGTCGTCTTCAACTTAAAATCCCCTCTCGGAGACACCAAACCAAATAATTTCAGCCCCCATTTTCTTTGTACTCCGGGGACGGAGCCTAAAACACTTTCGATTATTGTGAACCCATAAAAGTTAATCAAGAATATTTTCATATGAAAAATTAGTGATTTTCGTTAAATATTCATCTGTCATTTATTTCAGAAGTTTTAATTAAAAAAAAACGTCCTTCAACACTGATCAACAAAATGTTACCCTTTATCATTTATCAAGATTTTTTCCATTATTAACATTTATTATTACATTGTACAAGTAACCATGATCTATAATTTATGTTATTTTTTAGGAAATAAAGCTTTTGTTATCGATTTTCTTGAGACAGGGTTACTCTGTTGTGTTGTGTTTGCGGCCAACCGGGAAAGATTTGTCCGGGGAGAATAAATATCCCCGCACCAGAATTCCGACGGGCCTATTATTCAAGTTTATCTGGTGTGTTGCTGTTATCTGTCAACAATTGTACATTATTAATTATCTCTGTTTGTAAACTTCTGCCTAAAAACCATTATTCATTTAAACTGCGTTTCAAATGAATTCGTATCATGGTTACAGCTTAAGGGATAGACCAGCTATGTAAGGTAGTTGAACTGAGTATGCAGTGTTGTGGAAAGCTTCTTTAGGATTCATTTGAGACTTTTTAAAGATCTGTAAATCCTGAGCTTGAGCGCAAATTCGACGTTCAAAACTCCTACTTTTGGGGGTGGATACGTTTTAGGAATCTGTTTTTTTAAATTATTTAATAATTATTAAATAACGACGACGTAAAATAAAGTAAAAATTACACAGTAATCTAATAAGATGGCTAGGAACATATTTCTCAAAAGAAATTTGTCAATAAATCTATACTAGAATCAATTATTTCGTTTTCATCATAATATTGAATTTCTTATTTTCTTTGAAATTATTTGCAGATTTCTTCAATGCAGTAGCCTACATGATCGGTCCAATTTTTAAGCACATTATCGATTGTGTGCAGCTGTATTTCACCATTGGCTTCACGAATATTGTCCTTTAAAGCGTCAATTGTCTCTGGCTTGTCGGCGTAAAACTTATCTTTGAGGGCACCCCACAAATAATAGTAACAGGGCGCAAAACATCGAGTGTAGCTTAACTGTACCGATCGTGTAGGCTACTGCATGGCCAGCCGAGGCGGCCATTTGAATGAAATTATTTTCCATTATTAACCGGAAGGATTGTACTTTCAAATAAAAAAAGAAATTTGAGAAAATATTTAGTAGTTTTTTTATAGCATTTTCAAAAAAAAGTTATTTGGCGGGCCCTTAATAATTTGTCATATTTATATGAGGGTCAAATTTACCCTCCCCCCCCCCCCGTGTATCCTAGTTTTTAAGTACACCAGCAGGGATAGGGTTAAGAGCTACTCTACGGCGTAATTCAGAATAAGAATTGCGACTTTTTTGACATGACACATCGGCCAAACAAAACAAAAACTTAAAACAAACGTCTAATTTTTACAGTTGACGGTAAAAACAAATTGAATAAACTTAATCTATACTTCAGTTATTTTTTAGTCAGGACTACTCAGAGCACTTAGGATAAAATTTGATTCGATTGTAAAAAACAGCCTTTAAAGCCCAAAATATAAAAGTGAAAATGTTTGTGACATTTCTGGTAATACTTTGTGACCTCTTAGCTTCTCTAGTTTTGACTTTAGAATCAATGGTAAAAAAAGAAAGACTATTATTCATTTTTATTTATCATTCATTTTTAAATTTTAATTTAACAAATTTTAAAATAGAGAATGTAAATTTATTCTCTTACCGTTGTATCTTCTTAAAATAGATGATTTGAAAATTGGTTTTCTGTTCCTTCCTCTCTTGTAGGTCTTTGCATTATGACCCCTTGTTGTAAAAATACATGTTTACACAATTTTTGATATTTTCCTACAAAATATTTCGCATATTGGCCAGAGCTGACGATTTCTTTAGTTTGATGGGCCACTGGATAAATAATGTAGAAATATCACAATTCATAATTCAACTAATCATCTATTTTTTTTCGCGAACACTTTCTTTAAAGCAAAAGAATTTTAAATCCTTTACAACTTTGGGATTTAAGTTCAAAAGATAAAGGAAAGCTTTGAGAAAACTTATGAAAATGCTAAAAATAAAAGTAAATTATTCATGATGATTATTCATACAGAACGTATGCAGTAATATCAGTTCTTAAATCATACATCGTAATACATCGTGCATATCTACAAGCAAGGTTATAAGGCTAGGAAAGTTATTTGCTGTTGCGTATTCTCTGCGTATATATTGAAACCAGTACTCTCTGGGTGGTATTTGTAAACAAGAATAGATACATCAGTGTTACTCTAGTATCCGAGGGGGATAAAAGCATTTAATTCTGATAATTCACACAAGTTTTCTATCATAGATATACAAGATTATAGATCGCTAATGTAGACTGTAAAGTTGAAAGTTGTACAACCCCTTAGAGAATAGGTATAGGGTTGAAATGCATGTTAAAAGCCCGATTTTTCATGGCCAGATCAAATAAAATAGACTGATAACTTTGATAGTTTGGGTGCTAGGGAGGGTGGAAAAAATGCCTTAAAAGGTGTGACACATGATATTCTACATGCATTTTTCAAGGGCTTTTCGAAAATACAGTTTTTAGATCTGTAGCTTTAGTCACAAAAAAGTTATGGGCTATTTTAGATTTTTTTCACAGACCGGACTATTTTTCGACCCGTACCCTACCCTTTCAATTAAAAAAAAAAAATTTTTGATCCTGAAAATTACTATTCATTAAACGTCACAAAATTTCACGATGATAGTGTCAAAAATGAGAGTGCTAGGACAAAAAACTTCAAACGTCCCCTCCCCCAGCCTGTTTAGGGTTAATATTAAAACTATCATGCTTACTGCCGAGTCCCTATACTGTCGACAAAAACGATATCGTAAACGAAAAAGGAACAAATGGGGTTTAACCGTATCAAGAGGGGTGTTTTACACCCCTCCCCTTTAAGAGTTTTTTCTAAATAACTTTAAAATGGCTAACATTTGAGCGCTTAAGCCTTTTCACTTTTCAAATTCATAGTAATGTTTTTGTAATCCACATATTAATAGTTTTGTCAAGAGTAAAAAAAAACACTTTTAACATTTTTTTATGTACTTTTTAAAATCCTCCCTGCTAACCAGAAAAGTTAGAGTTCTTATTTTTTTAATGATCTGGTCTTTGAAAGTTGGACTAGGGCCGGACATATAAAGGGTATCAATTCCAAGGGTGAAATCATAGATAAAATCTGCATTAGACAAAAATAGCCCGATCGTGTTAAGATTAAGAGTAAAAGCGTATTTATTTTTTTCTCGTGTTTTCTCACATAAAGATGTACAAAATCATTCATTAAATCCTTCAAATTATATTTTGATGATATTCATGATTTCTTCTATTTTTAAAGCTTTAGGATTATTTTAAGAATAGCAGAGCATGAAAATAAAACTTCAAAACATAGATAGAACGGATAGAACGGATAGAACTGATAGAACGGATAGAACGGATAGAACGGATAGAACGGATAGAACGGATTCAAGGCTAAAAAAATGTATTAAAAGAAATTAAATTAAATTTTTGCCACAAACTCTGATGTTTTAATTCCTATATCTTTGCAACCAAATGTAGAAGACCTTCAAACTATGAATTCTGTATTATCAAATTATCTAAGTTTGAAATATTAATGGTTTACATCATCAGGTTGCAAAGACATGGGAATTAAAAAATTTCATTTTAATCCAGTTTAACTGAAAAATGAATGTTCATTCAAATATTTTTACTAACATTTATTAGATTCATAAATATTTATTGTTGTATGACGATAATAATATGACAATAATTACATTTATTACAAAATATTGAGAAAACAATTTACAAATTATGCTTAATTTAATGAAGAAATGAAAATGATTTAATTTTTTTTTTATTTCAATTTTAATCATGGCCTAATTACTGAGATTACATAAATATGTTTGCGTAGATATTAACGCAATAAAAACCTGTCTTCAGTCCCCCTTTCACTTTTTTTGGAATACACTATGCAGTTTGCATTTACACTTAAAAGGGTTATTAACAAAAAATAGAATATATAGTCTGAAAGAAGATTTCGTATATTTCCTAGAGTATCTTAATTGCTTCTAAACAAGCAATGAGCAATTTAATTTGTCAGAGAAATAAACCGCAAATTAGAATACAGAGTTTAAAGGAACAAACATATTGATATCTAATTTATACTTGATCAGACAAAGGTTTCAAGAGTTAATTAGGAACTGTCATCTTAAAATTACACTTACAGTTCCTTTAAATTCATAAGTATGACAAATGAGTCTGCAGTAGTGAAAGCTGATTAACCCTGGGGGAGGGGTAGGGGGCTCAAAACATTAACCCTATCAAGATTGAGAGGGGGGGGGCGGTGTTTTCAACCATGTGTTTTTTTTCTAAATAACTTTAAACCGACTTACATTAGAACGCTGAAACTTCTTCACTTTTTTAACATCATAGTTGGGAACAAATTTTACAAAACAAAATTTAGTTTTTTGATGGTAGGGTGGTGACATTTTTTATTGATTAAGCTACAGGGCTGAAATTAATAAATTTTAAAACCCCTTGAAAAATGGATGTATTTGTGTCACATGTTAATATTTGTTGAAATTTAAAATAACTATTTTTGAACATTTATCCGAATTACTTTTGAATTTTTTCTAAAAATACTCCCCTGCATCCTAACCATTGAAGTTAGAGGTCTAAGTTTTTATGAGCAAGATTTGAAAAGTTGGACTAAGAACATGCATCACACTCCCTTATATTAACAAGGTCAAAATCATGGGGGGGGGGGGGTTGAAAACATCTCCCCTCCCAATCTATATTTGACAAAAATAGCCCAATCGGGATATGGCTAAAAATGAAGAGTTTTAAAATTTCAAAACTAAGCTGACCTTGTAGTACTTTTACAAAAATTAGACGGTTCAAACTAAAAATTCTATAATGTCGCTTCTCTTGAACCTTCTTCTTTGTAAAACGCGAAGAATTGCCTTGAAAACATTGCATTACATTGATCCAAAACAAAGTAAAAAAAAACATCTGACAAAGAGCACCACATTCAGCGCCATACTTTTCACAGGCAAATTAACAATTTATAAAATAAAGATTTAAATGTGAAACTGTTTGAATTTCATCATCCATGATTTGAACATAATAATGATCGTTTATTTAATAAATTTCTATTTGGGAAAATTAAATTTAAAAAAATAACTATTTTTAAGCAAATATGAGTATCACTACATCAAACGTTTATATAATTGGTTAAATAACATGTTATAATAAATATTTGTAACCCGATGTCGTTGACTTCTTAAATTTATAATTCTGTTAGATCAAATAGTCTAAGAAATATAAAAGTTTAAAACTTTTTGGTGGTAAATTCTTTCTTTTAGAATTTTACAGATAAAATCAACAATTGAAAAGATGGCCAACGTTTTATTTCAAGTTTCATCAACGATTACCAAAACATAAAGATCTTACCGGAATAAGAAATAAATAGCAAACTGTATTTTTTAGAAGCAATTTGCGGATTTCTGTGATAACAAATTGGTAAAATGAAAAAACTCTGGTTGAAAAAAATCAATCTACCTGCTCATGGTTCTTACAAGAAGCAAATCATAAACTTAATTTGGGGTTAATATAGAGCAAATTTGTTAAATGCTCTGGTTCAAACAGAAAGAAAATGATATATTTGCCATGGAAAAAACATTGAGCAAATTATGAATCTGCTCTGGTAAAGACAGAAAGCAAATTATATTGCTCTGGATCGAAAAGAAAGAAAATGATATAATTGCTCTGGTTCAAAAAGAAAGCAAATGATAAAGTTGCTCTGGTTCAAACAGAAAACAAAATATATAATTGCTCTGGTTCAAACAGAAAACAAATTATATAATTGCTCTGGTTCAAACAGAAGACAAATTATATGATTGCTCTGGTTCAAAAAGAGAGCAAATTATTTAATTACTCTGGTTCAAACAGTAAACAAATTATATAATTGCTCTGGTTCAAACAAAAGACAAATTATATAATTGCTCTGGTTCAAAAAGAGATCAAATTATATAATTGCTCTGGTTCAAACAGTAAACAAATTATATAATTGCTCTGGTTCAAAAAGAGAGCAAACTATATAATTGCTCTGGTTCTAACAGAGAGCAAAAGTATAACACTGACAAAAACAGAGAGCAAATCTTAAGCTGGCTTGTATAGAGCACAAAAGCAATTCATTTTATTGCTTTGCTTAAACAGAGAGTAAATGGTGTGACTGTCGTTGAGACATGGGCAAAGGATTTTCAATTGGTGGCTCGTTTCCACCTGAAATCAAAATTAAATATTAAAACCTTTAAGACCATTAAAATCACCATAAATTTCCAAAAGTTAACAAAAAAGCTTTATAAAAACGTTGTTAAAGACGTTTTAAAATTTAGCTCATTTGGGAACTTATAGAATTAGGAATATTTAATGTTTAGAAGGGTCTCAATTCTTTATTAAGGATAATACAATTTATAAAAAAAACTTCTATTTAATTTTTGAGTTAAAAAGTTGTTAAAAAAATGAAACTTATTGGAAAATTCCCCNACTGGAGCAGGGTTAATAACATTAACACAGTTTTAATTTTAAAAGTCCGGAATGGAGGTACACAAATGTTTGAGAAACTTTTAATTAAACCTTGCATTCAATTTCTAAACTTTTGTCACTATCAACATTTGCAGAACTCATATTCTTCAAATTCTAATTCTTCCGACAATTTGACATTTTCAATATTTTAAGATTATAATAGTTTCGCAACAATTTTTGACATTATTGAAGATTCAACAGTATTTTTTACTTATGTTGATACTAATTAATAATTAAAATATCATTAAAAGGATAAAAGGTTTGTTATTTCTTAATTGATAATTGTAAGGCAAATTTTTATCGACTGTTATAATTTGTAATGTTGCAATTTTAAAAAGGTTTGATGTGTAGGGATGCGCACGTTCCAACTTTTCAAGCAGTTTTGTTTACAGTTAGTTCTTAACGTTATTAAAATAGAATCTGAGGTACTAGCTCTCATTTTCAGAGGAAAAGAACGGAACGAAAAACTTCATTTCGTTAACGTTTTTTGCTGTTTTTTAATGTTTACGTTAGTTTACGATCTGAATTTTATTAATGGCGTTTACGGAAAATTTTCAACAAGATGTACAGAGTTAACGACAACAAACTTCTTTAACGGTTTATGAAATCGGTAACGAAGAAAAAAATATTAAATCATCAAAACACAAATATATTTATTTATTTAATGTTAAAGGCTGAAAAAAATGAAATACAGAGTTTTAAAAAAATCTGTTTCGTTTTCCTTTTTAATTGTTAATTTTTTTTTTAGAAAACAGCAAACCCGTTTCGTTGACAATTTAAAAATCAACGATTTTTGCCGTTTGTCATTTTTATTTTCGAAAACCTCCATTTTGTTAACGGAACTTTTCCCAGCCCTTTTTTGTGTACTTAATTCAATAAATAATTTAAACAAATTTTGTTCTCATGTTAGAATTTATAAATAAGCTTAATTGTACTAGTAAAGGAAAGTTGAACTGTTTCTCTTTCTCGAGATTCATTAGTTCCGAACTCAAGCGTGATTTAAAATGGTTATTAGCTAGAGTATTTTTTTTTTGTCCCTAGACCAGATTTATTGAACAGCAAGAAGTAGTTGAACTACGTAGTCTCAGTTGAACTACATCTCTTCAAATCCTAAAACTCCGATTTAAATCCTTATGAATCATAAACTTTGAATCGATGTTTACGATTTAAACCACCTGTAGGTTGGATCAGTGCAGATCTGATTTAAACCGCCTGTAGGTAGGATCAGTGCAGATCTGATTTAAACCACCTGTACGTAGGATCAGTGCAGATCTGATTTAAACCACCTGTAGGTAGGATCAGTGCAGATCTCTCTCAAATTCATTGAATTCAGTCCCTGGTTCAATATATTCTATTTCCACGTAGTTGAACTTATTCTCGCTATTTATCAATTTGGACCCTGCTGGCCTAGAGAAGACCTTATGTTTTTCTTCACCTCTTGCAGAGCAGCAGATGCAGGAGAGAAGGTTTAACCCTGCCTCTCTTAGACCTGAGTGCAGGGTGAGAAGGATCAACGGGTTAGCAAAGGAATGAGAGAATGCGATATGTAGAGACACCTAGAATTAAGTAGATGTAATTATGGTATCAGTTCCATTTATAAGCTTACACAAAAGAGGATTACAGGGGATTCCGAGTGAATGAGGTGCGATATGTGAAAAATATAATTTTTACAGTGTTGATTTTATATTTTAAATAGCACAAACGAAGATTATTCAAGAATTAGCTAAGTAAGGAATGAGAGAATGCGAAATGTACAGACACCTAGAGTTCCGTAGATCTCATAAAATTGAATATTAAGATTACACAAATAATTGGTTTAGCCAAGAAATATGTAGAGAAACCTAGGATTATTTTATATTTGTATCAGTTCTATTTTAAACTTTTTTACAGTGTGGAATATTTATATTTAAGATTACACAAAAGAGGAACATAGGGTTTCCGAAATAATGAGATTTGATATATAGAAAAAATCTTGAAATTAAACTTTGAGATAACACAAAAGATGATTAGATTTAGCCAACTATAGCCAAAGATTATGTTGAGAAACCTAGGATAAAGTAGATATAATAAATGTATCAGTTTTATTTTTTCAATAAATTTTACAAGATGGAAACCCATGGGTACTCAGTGGGGGCAACATAGACTAAAAATGTGTTTTTTAATAATTCAACTATTTTTTCAAAATTTCAATTTTTTTCTAAAATATTGTTGTCTTTCTTTAATTTCCACTGGCTTTTAACTTATATTTTTCCATCATTCATATGTTTGTTATTTTTAAATGAGAGAATGTGAAAAATGTCTGCACTAAAAATCTCAAAAAGGAAAAAAAATATTATTCAAAGATTCCAAGAAAATTAAAGTCGTTTTTCCATTCTCTTTAAGAACCTTTCTTTTTTCTGCATCTGGATTGTCTAGGATTTTTATTGTTTTTTGTTTAATTGATTTTGAACGACAAAAATACATTTTTACTTGCAACACAATACTAAAGAAATATAAACCAATTTGATGTCTAAGAAAAATCAGATCATTATTAATTTCTGGAAATCTTGTCAATTCTCGAATTCTTTTCTCTTCTCAAATAATTTTCTCTCCGTCAAGGGTTTCTATGAATTGCAAAATAAATCTATCTTTAGCTTCTGAAAAGGTAGGAATATTGAGAACAAATAAAACAAATAAATATTTTTCTTTTTGTTTGTAAGGATAAAATCTCTTTGTGCCTGATATACTCAATCTTTAATAAACTTGAATAAAGTAAAATTTTCATTTTCTTGTCCTAAAGTTTTTTAATCAAAAAATCAAAAACATATTTTTTTAAATTGTTAAAATCTTTTTCCATAATACGTTACTTCCATTTTACAATCATAAACTCATTGAAAGAAACTTCTTTTTTACGTATTTTCAGTTATTCCAATCTAGGTTTCTTTTAATTAAATAATACCGCAAAATTATTTAATAAATTAGTTTATTCTTTATATAGTTATACAACATTTTTACCTCATGTGCCATTGATTTCCTAGCTTCCTTCCACTCCCAACCTTAATTTACACAAGGAAATAAATTTAAAACATGTTTAAAGTTTTTGAAAAAAACATTTGGGTGCAAAAATCTAAAATTTACTTTTTATGGAAGAAAAATTGTAAAAAATTTTTTTGCTAAAAATGTTTATTTTTATTTTGTTATAGCTGTAAATAAGGGGAAACAGATCTGAATAGTTTTATTTCAACCAACATTTTTAAGGTGTGTGAAAAATCACTGACCAGAGGGAGGGGATAACTCTTTCTCCCTCCCCCTCTATCAGTACTAGTATTGCAATGGCAATACATTAATACAAATTTATCTATTTTGACAAATAGCATAATTAATCTGTTTTGTTTTTAATCTTGTTAAAAATTTATTTACCTGGATTAAGAAGAGTGATGATGAAGACGGGACTCCAGAACATAATATAGGCCAGAGTTATAACAGTAAACATTCGGACCCTTATCCATCAATCAACAGTAATAACATATAATAACATATAACATAATATATGCCAGAGTTATAACAGTAAATCAATCAACAATAATAATATAAAACACATGATGTATGTCAGAGTTATAACAGTAAACATTCGGACCCTTATCCATCAATCAACAATAATAACATAAAACACATGGTGTATGCCAGAGTTATAACAGTAAACATTTGGACCCTTATCCAACAATAATAACATTTAACATGATATATGTGCGCCTGGTTGACATACATAGTACCTCCATATTCTAAGGTCTATTTGTGAGGGTATACAGGTAATTACGGGTTTCCTAGCTCCCCAGGCTATGCTTGTCTAAAGAGCCTTAATTAAATTAAGTATTTAGTTTTGATAATTTTGAAAAGTTTAAAAGTATTCAAAATTAAATTTCTCTGTCATGAAATTATGAAGCTCGAGATATTTAATGTCAAAGTTAAGAAGGAGAAAACTATTTCAAAGTTATTTAAAAGTTCCTCACCCTCCATCTCTGCATACTGTTTTATTTTATCCCTTTCCCTTCCTTGAGGTGGGTGAGTTAGGTTTTTATCATATTGTTCGTGGTGAAAAGCCCATTTTGTTTATTTTTTATCTTTTTGACAAAATTGATTTTGTTCATTCTTAAAATGTTCGTTATTTTACCATTTATTTTGTTTGCTTTCTTACTGAATGATTGTTCAGTAAAATCGTTTGCTCAGTAAAATCATTTGTTAAAAAAATTGTTCTTTCATTAAAAAAAGATAATTTTTTCAAAATTTGTTCGAAAAAATTGTTTGCTCAGTAAAAAACTTTTTGTTTTTTGTTTGTTTTAAAAAAAATAAAGTTTTTTTCATTTTTCTAATCAATCAAAGTCGTTGTCCATCATTCTTTATTTCAGAACGACATCATTGTTCACGAAAAATGTTGTTCAGTATTAAAAATTTTGCTTGTTTACAAAAACTATGCCCATCTCTACCCCACCATCTCTATGCCCATTTCTACCCCACCCCCATCTCTATGCCCATCTCTAGGGGGTAGCTTTTGACTACCCACAAAAAGACGATGTTTTTACAAATAACCCTTAAACCAAATTCCTTTCTAACTATTGTGATTTTTTTATTTAGAGGGTCAATTCCCCCCCCTCCCCCTTCCCCTTCTCTTGGTTAATGGGTAGATTTCTTGTTGAGTTGTTTTCCTGCGAATACCATCCCGTTCAATCTTAGCAATATACTTCTCCATATTTTGCATGCTTTCAGGACCACCCTCACCCTAAAGGGAATATTATTTTACAGAATATTTGTGTGTATATAGTCTTTAGTCAACCATCACCCTTTACAGAATATTTGTGTGCATAGTCTTTGGTCAACCATCACCCTTTACAGAATATTTGTATGCATATAGTCTTTAGTCAACCATCACCCTTTACAGAATATTTGAGTGCATAGTCTTTAGTCTTTACAGAATATTTGTGTGCATAGTCTTTGGTCAACCATCACCCTTTACAGAATATTTGTATGCATATAGTCTTTAGTCAACCATCACCCTTTACAGAATATTTGAGTGCATAGTCTTTAGTCAACCATCACTCTTTACAGAGTATTTGTCTTTATAGTCTTTGGTCTAACATTACCCTTTACAGAATATTTGTTTACATAGTCTTTGGTCAACCGCACACTATTTACACACTATTTGTCTTCAAAGTTTTGGGCCAGCCGTCATTTGTAACTCTTAACAGAATATTATTGTTTCATGGTCTTTGGTGAACCCTCATTAACAGAATATTATTTTGGTCTATCAATTGTAATATCTTGCTTTCTTCGCTTTTTGATATTCATCAATCTTCCTTTGTGTTATTCAGACAGATGTTTCGATCCTTATATGTCCCTTTAAATGAAGGATCGCTTGAATTATGTCAACAGTTCCTTTATATATACAGGGTGAGTCAAAAAGTGTGATTTGCGGCGCCTGGTGCAAAATTGTACCTTTTTTGTGTGCAACTCTCCTGTATGGTGTTTATTCAATATTTTTTGAAAATTTGTAATTTTTTTTGGTACTTCAATGGCCCAAAAAAAATCCGCGAACCTTTTTTTCTCTCAAAATCTATATTTTATACTTTAGAATAAACTAAGAAGAAAGGAACTAGAGAATTTAAATTACTTTTCCTTAAAAATTAGCCCAGAACTGAAAATTGCGAATTTTCTCATTACAATTTTGCAAATTTTGTGTAATTCTTTGATTCAATCTTTAAAAGATTTTAGATTTCGATTGAAATAATTTATATACACTTTTTTGCTTTTCTGAACTTTTGATTTTGAGAGAAAAAAAAGGTTTGCGGATTTTCATTTTCAAAAAATATAGAAAAAAACACAATACAGGAGAGTTGCACAAAAAAGGTACAATTTTGCACCAGGCGCCGCAAATCACACTTTTTTTTGACTCACCCTTGTATATGTATAGAAAGGAATACCATCAGGTCCCTCGTAAATTATCGAATATTTCCTCTGAATTGAGAGGAATTTATCAATCATGAGTTGGCGTTAGTGTTCAACACCAGGCAGGAGAATTCAGGATAATGTAAATTTATATTTACTTCGAGCAGGTTTTACAATTATAAAAAGGAGTAACATTCCAAGGGTCGGATGAAATAGAATCGGTGAATTTTGTTTTACTCATTACACTGAAGAATTACTTAAAAACTTATCGAAAACGTTTTTTGCAACCCTTTTTCAAAATTATTTCGACCATTCTGATAATGTTTTAAACAAAATTTAAGTTTATTCAAAATCTTTTCGTTTATTTGAACCTTATTGTGATATTTTGTTCATGGATCAAATAAATAGTTTTTTCTTAGAGCTGTAAATTTAATGGTTAGCTGGTGCTAGGAAATTTTTTTTTTATAGTTTAAAAAGCATATGTCGTTTGTTTTCAAACATTTCGCAGTTTAAGGATTCACAAGATTGCTTACACGCCGTCTTGCCTAGTTCACAGATCTACAGGTTCGCTGTATTAAAATAAAGAAATCAATATATAAAACAAAATTGTAATTAATAAGGAGTACATAAATTAGATAGCTGGTTATGCATTCAGTTTTCTGTTAATTTTATCAAAATATGTTAAAAATCTAGCTGGTCCAACTAAGTGTAACCAAATCAGATAAACTTGAATGGGTTTAAAATAAATCTCTAGAAAGGTTTCTATTTTCAGCTTCCATCAAAAAATCTAGGAATTCGATGGAAGTATACATAAAAATTTACAAGAATTTGACTTGTATATTTTTGTTTAAGTTTCATAGTGCAAAATCTATGTTTACATAAAATTCAGCGTAAAGTTAAAGTTTTGGGAATCGGTAAACATTTCATATATTTTTAAACTACTAGTCTTAAAAAGGAAGATGAGAAAATTGAACCACGTAGAAGAATAAGTGAAATTATATTTAGGCCCCTTGAGTATGTTAACTGTCGTTAACTGTCGTTAGCTGTCTTTAACAGTCTTCAAGTGTCTTTCAAACTGTGCCTTCGATTTTAAATCATTAACTTACTTATACTTTTTGTGTAGTCTTAGACATTTAAATTTTAGAACCTTGATTGCAATTGTTTTTGTTTTTGTTTAAGTTTTTTTTTAAGTAAAAAGCAAAATTTGCATCGTTTTTGTGTGTGCTAGCTGTTATTTGTATACCTGGTTATGGTTTAGAATAGGAGTAAAGAAGTTGACCAGCTTAGCCGTCTCTGCACTGCATCCTGTAAAATCCCTAAACCGCATATATAATACAATATCGATCATGTGTAAGAACATATTTTAAGAATCTAAACTTTACAATATTAGCCTAAACAAACTCACAACTTGTTTATCCCGGTATATTTACAATGAAAACTTTTAATTTTTAAAAATGTGCATTCAAAAATGTTGAAGCTTTTTTAAACTTACAATGAAAACGAAAAATCTCCGAAACCCTGAATTGCCAATTTTATATTATAAGAAAAAATATGGCTGCAGGCAAAGTAACAATTAGTTAAAGTTATTACAAGAAAAGGAGGTGCGGAGTGTCCTATAGAAGACTTATTTGATAATATTAGAGATAGTACCTGTATAGTTTACGGAGATGGTAGATTGTTAGAAAAATGCAAAGAAGATTGATCAGAATCCAGAGAAGGTTGAGTATATAATGACGGAAAGGTCCCTAGAAAATTTAAATCAATCAATAAATCAATCAATAAATCAATCAATAAATCAATCAATAAATCAATCAATAAATCAATCAATAAATCAATCAATAAATCAATCAGATAATAGATGAATCTGTAAAGTCAAATTCAGTGGTCATGTCTTCTCCAAATTGAGTGGTCATGTCTTATTGTCAAAAATTTTCCAAATTAGTTGGAAAAAAATGTTTTACTTTCATGATGGGAATATATAAAAGTTAATCATTTGTATTATACGGGGTACAAAGTATCTACTGGGTGTCCAAAATAACATGACTTATAACCTCGTTCAACCTTTTCTGATACACCCTGTACCTGTATAATGGGACATGATGGTTCTCTTATTTGATCATCAGCATGAGCAGCCAGGGCTCCACTATATCAACAAGTTTTTAAACTTTCATTGCAAGCAAAAACTTTAACTGTAAATAAATTTTTGCAGTAGAGCCTCTAATTTTAAATTAGTCAGTACGATATAAACCTTTATGCCTAAAAAGGTTGGGGGTTTAGTCAAGGTTTAGAAATTGAATACGTACGAGTTTATGGCCATATTTTTCAAGGCCAGCTCATTTAAAAGATAAGATCGCTAACTTTAACGGTTATGGCTATGAAGGTTTAAAAATTAAAGCTAAAAAAATGTCTGAAAATGTTAAAATTGCTTGATTTTTACAAATGATAAGATGTACACAATACACATGTCTTGATATCAGTTTTTTAACAAAACCTGCGAGTTAATATGATTAGTTTCCTTTAGAAAATAAGACTATTTTGGTTGTGTTGTAGATATTGAAGGATCAAGTAAGATTTGTTTAAAGAACTGCTCCTGAGAAAGGTTGGTCCTAGATTTATAGTTATACTACTGAACCTAAAACATAGGATTAAAGGATTTATTTAAGAGGATAGTTCACAAAATTCGAGACAGACCCTCAATTTTAGAAATTAGAAACACAACTCTGCCAATCTTACACTTACATATGTCCCTGAGGGCTTAAGTGCCTTTTTCCCAGAAAATATTTTTTTTTTTTTTGTTAGAAACCTAAATTATTTCGTAAATTTGAGAGATTTTATGGAAATTCTACGATTATCCGACTGTCAAACATGAAAACACAAGCTGATAAATCTTAAATGAAAAATTAAAAATTGCTTTGACACACCTTCTTGTAAGAGTGTTGGGAACAATCCCATTAAAGGATTTATTTAAATACTTTAGAATAATAAATGTTAAAGAACTAATGTATTTCAGTTTTAATTTAAATGGATAAAAGTTCCGGACTACCATGGATTTCAGCAGACACAGCTTTTCCTTTAAAGGGACTGTACATGCAAATTTAAGTAACCCTCCATTTTGCTTTACAGGGACTGTACATGAAAATTCAAGAAACCCTGCATTTTCATTTAAAGGGACTGTACATGTAAATTTAAGTAACCCCGCATTTTTCTTTAAAGGGACTGTACATGTAAGTACAAGTAACCCTGTATTACCCTTTAAAGGGACTGTACATGTAGATACAAGTAACCCTGCATTTTCAATTAAAGGGACTGTACATGTAGATACAAGTAACCCTGTATTATCCTTTAAAGGGACTGTGCATGTAAATACAAGTAACCCTGTATTTTCATTTAAAGGGACTGTACATGTAAATTCAAGTAACCCTGCATTTTGCTTTAAAGGGACTGTACATGTAGATTCAATTAACCCTGCATTTTGCTGTAAAGGGACTGTACATGTAAATTCAAGTAATCCTGGACTTTGCTTTAAAGGGACTGTACATGTAAATTCAAGTAACCCTGCATTTGGCTTTAAAGGGACTGTACATGTTCAGAAATAAATGTTCAAGCGAGAAAAACGACGACATTTTCTATATTATTGTTCAGATGAATGTTAAAAGGCCATGCATATCGTTTAAGTTTTAACATTTAAATTATTATAAAGAAAAATTAGAAATCCATCTTACCAGATCATAAATACTCCAAACCCAACACACTGGGGACTCTCCTAAAATTAAAATAATGTTTTAAAACTCATTTCACTCTAATTTCAGTTTTACTTTTGTTCCCCTTGAACCAACATTAATGAACAGCTAGAAGTAGTTTAACTACATGAACTAAGTTGAACTGCTTCTCTTGTGCGACCATTTAAGTTTAATCCATTACTATTGGGGCTAGAGTTGTTTTCCACCCTGTGGTGTTTTCGTTTTACATTAAAAACGGCGCACACTAGAACGCTTAAACTTCTTCACTTTTTTCTACTTCATTATAGTTGTGAACAAATTTTGCAAAAACATTTTTGTATTCAATAGGGTAGGGTGGAGGACGGTCAACCGGCTGACCGGTGTTTCAAAAATCAAAAACAATAAAGAACTTCTAATAATTAAGCTAAAGATCAACTCATAGGAGGGGGGGGGGGGGGGGGGGAAAACCCCGGCCCCCCACCCCAACTTTACTAGAAAAATAGCCTTATCGGTTTATTGTTATAAAAAGTGGTCTACGTATTCTATTTCTTGCTATTTATTTGCTTTAGTTCCTGCTTAATCTAATTTTGGATAAAATTATTTGTAATAATCTGATTAATTAGATAAATACATTAAATTTATAAATTATTCATGGGTTCTTAATGTTCTAATGAATGTTTGCACATTTCACAATTAATATTTCCTTGTTTTGTAAAATCAAATATGTATGTTAATAAAGCGGTATTTACTATTTAGAGCTAATATTATCATTTTCATGTGTATAGTTTTTATGCGAATTTAAAGTTAGATCTTGTAGGTAATCCAAAAATAATTTGACGATATATTTTTCACCCCCTTCATACTCTACCTTAAACATAGTAAGGGAATCATCCTCATCAAGGGGGTGGATAGGCGTGTCATTCAGTACAGTGGTTAGTAGGTTAACCTATGGATAGGAGGTATATTCAGTACAGTGGTTAGAAGATTAACCTATGGATAGGAGGTATCATTCAGTACTGTGTTTAGCAGATTAACCTAGGGATAGGGGGTATCATTGGCGAAAGACCTAATTGTGGATGTTATTTGCATTTAAAATTTTGAATTAAATTTGTCTTTACAATACAAAAATTAAGGCACTCTATTGTTTGAAATTCCTTAAAAATAAAAAATAAATATATCATATTATATATTTTAAAATAACTCTGTATAAAAACCATTTTAGTAAAAATTTTTTTAAATAATTTGTATGATGTTTGTTTGTTTGTTTGGACATTTCTCATGAACCCCTTAACCGATTTGCCTCAAATTTTAGGTGAAAATCATTGGAACGTTTTTATCGTGTTTAAACATTCTCTGTTGATTGGGTTGACTCAAATGTCCAGGCGAAGCTGGGTTTCTGAGCATGTAATATAATGTAATGTATACCATAGATGCTGTAACTAGGAGAAGGAACGCTGTCTCCACAAGAGAACATTTTGCCACTGCTTCACAATAGTAAATAGACTTGGCTGAAATAGATTTTTTATTTTGAAAATCCCTAATATTACGAAAAACCCTAATTTTACGAAAATCCCTAATATTAAGAAAATTTCTAATATTAGGAAAATCCCTACTATTACGAAAATTCCTAATATTACGAAAATCTCTAATATTATGAAAATCCCTAATATTATGAAAATCCCTATATTATGAAAATCCCTAATATTAGGAAAATCCCTAATATTATGAAAATCCCTAATATTAGGAAAATCCCTAATATTAGGAAAATCCCTAATATTAGGAAAATCCCTAATATTAGGAAAATCCCTAATACGAGGAAAATCCCTAATACGAGGAAAATCCCTGATATATTGAAAATCCCATATATATTGAAAATCCCTAATATTACGAAAATCCCTAATGTGTTGTTCGCAATATCAATTATCCAACTTATCGAGGGCACTTCAAAAAATTACAAAAAGTTTGTTTTTGACAAAAAATCCGATTTCATAAAACATTTATCTTTGCAGCCCAACGTCCAAAACTCATTCGTTTGAAAAATTTATGTTTTGCAACCTATTTTGAAATTACTTCAGTAAGTTTCGTTTTCTAACAGTACAATATTGGTACTTCAAAACCATATACAAAAGAAATAGCTGGTGGTTCAGAATAAGACAATTGCTATTTGAAATTTTGAATTGAAGTTTTATATATTTATGTTGCAAAGATATAATGATTAGAAAATTATAGTTTGTGTTTGTGGTGAGTAATCATTCACTAAATCAACACATTAAGTAAAATCACTAAATATTAAGAGATTTAAAAAAAAATATAAAGTAAATTCAGAAGACACCAATATTCTTTTAAAGATTTGTATTTCTTTTTTTCTAATATAGTCTGTGGTTATTAACCAAGGGGTAGGAGAAGGATACCTCTATATTAACCTAGAGTTAGGGGAAGGATTGCTACATATTAACCTAGGGGTAGGAGAAGGATAGCTCTAGTACAATCCACCAATCCTTGATGTAGCATCAAACCCTGGGACCATCTGAAATTATGGAATAGAAAGACAACATTTAATGAATCTAATGTATATATAATATTTTGATAAACAAGGGATGTAATCCGTCGTCTTTGCAATAAGGAGAGAGATCAGAGTTGTGGTTCAAAAGGAATCTGGAGTTTAGGTATAGATCAAATGGTGACATATAGTACATCAGACAATTATGTATTTCGGCATGTCTAGGCCGAGTAGGAGGACCAGGGTTGTGAAATCGTTTTTGAAACTTCAAATTGTTTGTTTATAAAAAAATGGGGTTTTCAACCAACCCCTCTCTCTTATCTTTGCTCAGAATAGATAACAAATCAATGTTTGTTGATTCGTATAATAAAATTAATTTATACAAAACCTTTTCATTTCTCCAGAAAATAAGAGTACCACAGCTAACATTAGGTTTGCCACAACAGCCATACAGCTAGTTAACATCAAACAATTCAAATATCGGTCAAAGGAAATAAGTCTTTGCCGCAAACGCAAATTTTCTAATCCCAATAACTTTGCAATCTGATGATGAAAACCAATGATATTTCAAACTTAGATTGTTTGATCGAACAAAATTCATAGTTTGAAATATGTCAAGTCTGTGACATTTGGTTTCAAATATATAGGGATTATACAATCAGAATTTGTGGCAAAGGCTTAATTCTTTTATACAACGTTTGTGGTTCGACTTTATGACCTCAAAGCTAATTTTTTTTACGCACAAATAAGAGAAAGATAATGGAATTGTGTCTTTGACACAAGCTCTGATCCATATATCTTTGCAACGGAATGTTATATAACCTTACATATTTCAACATATGAATCCTGTTAGATCAGATAAGTTAATTTAAGTTAGAATTATCAAAGGTTTACACTGGCACTACACTACACTAACGATATTAGAGTTTGTGGCAAATGCTCAATTTCTCTAGAATTACATATAAGAAATTCAAACATTTTTCTTCTTCTAAAGGCAGGGTGTCCCACGAAACATGACAGTTTGTGAATAGTTTTGAATGTCTTCTTCCATATACTGTATTAGATATTATAGACTTTTTCCAGTTTATTTAGGTTAACAAATCTTTTACTTAAACATATTTTACTTTGAAATTAATTTTACTATAATATGTCTGGCATGAGCATTTTTATATTATTCTCTTGGGGTTCAAACAACTTAACAAACTATGGAAAAAGACATTTTAAACTTTTCACCAACTGGCATGTTTCGTTGGACATCCTGTAGCTCTTCATAATAAACGTTCAGGATTCCAACCTTTTGTTTTACTCAAGTTTGATGTGGTTTTAGCGAAATTAGAACAAAATCTAAATCTAAATATTTGAAATTTCCTGATAAATGTGAGTAATACAGCTTGCCACACTCTATTACTTGCTTCCTCCTTAACATTAGCATCATCGTCATTATCATCAACATCAACATCAACATTAACATGAACGTTATCATCATCATCATCATCATCAACAACATCAACATCATCATCATCATCATCATCATCAACATCATCATCATTAACATCAACTTCAACATCAACATCAACATCAACATCAACATCAAAATCAACATCAACATCAACATCAACATCAACATCAACATCATCATCATCATCATCATCATCATCATCATCATCATCATTATCATCAACATCAACATTAAAATAAACGTTGTCATCATCATCATCAACATCAACATCATCATCATCATCATCATCATCATCATCATCATCATCATCATCATCATCATCATCATCATCATCATTATCATCAACATAAACATTAACATAAACATCTCTCTTTAATTTACTAGCACTCTAGTATGCCGAGTCCATTAGTGCCTGATCAAAACAGGGTTCAGCCATGTGTTTGTTGTCTATTCTGAACCAATAGAAATTGCATGGCGGTAACATCTATCTCTCTATCTAGCTCATTATCCAATATGAGATAAATCGTTATATCGGCGCTACACAGTATATGGAAATATTTACTTCTACTGAAAATAGTGTACTGTAAGCGTAACTTTAGGTAACTCTTCATGCAAATATGATAATGCATGATTCACAAGGGTACCTTTAAATCTTTGTCTGATCAAGTAATATAATCAAGTATAATTTACTGATTATATTTAATTGTGGTTTCTCTACAAAAGTGACTTGCGAATTTCTACTGCAGAAAAAATCAGGAATTATAAGAACTGAACACTTTTATGCTTAAAAATAACAATATGGTCCACAGTATTGTTCAGATACAGCTTAATGTCAAGTGTTATAAGCTCTTGAAATTTTGGAGAAAATGGAATTTTATTTTAAATTGACGAAGATATTTGCTTATTTTAAATTGACGAGGATATTTGCTTATTTTAAATTGACGAACATATTTGCTTATTTTAAATTGACGAGGATATTTGCTTATTTTAAATTGACGAAGATATTTGCTTATCTTAAATTGACGAACATATTTGCTTATTTTAAATTGACGAGGATATTTGCTTATTTTAAATTGACGAGGATATTTGCTTATTTTAAATTGACGAGGATATTTGCTTTTTTTAAATTGACGAGGATATTTGCTTATTTTAAATTGAGATAGATATTTGCTTATTTTAAATTGACGAAGATATTTGAAATTTAAACATTTTCCGTTTCTATTATAAAAGAAGTTTGTTATATTAATTTGAAAAATTTACCGGCAACCCAGATTTTAAACTTCCACAATGGGAATTTTTAATCAATTAATTGTTGTAAAGTGAACTATTTTATACCTATGTTTATCTGGACATCATTGTTATTTTAAGAAAAAGATTGCATTGTTTTTAACATTTTGTGAAAAGTTTTCCACCATGAAAAATGATGATCAAGAAGGATTAAAGGAGAACTTAGGAGTACAGGAAAACCACAGCTTTTGTCAAAAGTAAAAAAAGTTGTTTCAGCAAAACCATAACTTTACCAACATAAATTTTAAAGTCAAATTTCTTTTTAAAATTAAAAGTAAAAAAAATTTAGATTTAGTTAATGTATTTCTGTATTATTAATATTCTACACGCACACATAGGAAAATGTGCAGTGTGTCTCTGAAAAAAGTGTTTAAGCTTTTCGCCTCCTGAACGTTATTAATTGTGATAAAAGTGAGTTGTTACAATAATTACAAATGAGGGTAGGGGCCAGGGGGTGGGGGGTTGTTGATAAAACATGGTATTCTATAATGTTGTTTCATTATAGGCATTATATCTGATCACCACATTATGTATTACAATAAAAAGACGTATAGTAGGTGAAAACACTTAGTTCAGTGAACACCTTTTTAAATGTATTCCTTTAAATTAAATTTCTTCTGACAAACCTTTTCGGTTTTTGGTTCCGCTGCTGTTTGCATAAATATTAAAACAGATATGTCAGAACAGTTTATAGTTTAACATAAAAAATTTAAAAAACTTTAGAAATCAAGAGACCGAATTTAAAGTATTTGTGCCACGGTTTAAATTTAAGCCGCGGCTCAAATTTTGTTGCTCTCACTAAAATTTGTATTTAATTTTCTAAGATTTAAGCCGGCACTCAATTGATTTTGGGGGATTTTAGACGCGGCTTAAATTCATTAAATTCTGACACTGGGTAGATATTTTATTCATTTTAATGCGGCTCATGACCGGTCGAATTTAAAAAAATGCCTAAAAAAAGAAAACTTTTGATGTTTGGAGAAAAATATTGGAACGTAAAAAAATTGAAAATCCAATAAAGACCCTAAAAGCCTGGTTTACTTTATCTTTATTTTCTATAAAATAGTTTTTAAAAACCCCCCCCCCCCCGGGTAAAAACATAGAATTTAAGGAACTGCTAGTAAAATTTCAAATGCCCCAACTACAAATGAACCCTTTACACTTAATTAATCATTGGCGTACAGAGAACTTTGTATTTTTATCTCTAAAATGTTGATTAAAATGCCGAAAAACTTGAGTGTACAGGTTGAACTCTGTAAGTATTTTAAACATACCAAACCATCTATGTCCAACTCGGTTGCCAAATAGTAAAATACAAATATTTTTTTTCTGTGACTTATGAAAAGTAAATACTTATACTTTCTAAAAATTTAAGAATTAAAAGCCTTTCTGTTGCAAAATAAGGATGGATAAGTCTGTTATCATCAATCAAATCAAAGGTTTAGAAGATACTGTTGTGAATCAGACAATCCAATCTACAAATGGAGAATCACTTGAATTTACGTCAACAGTTCCCTTAAGTAAGCATGAGGAGAGGGAAAACAGTTCCTTTAAGTGAGTATGAGGAGAGGGAAAACAGTCCCTTTAAGTGAGCATGAGGAGAGGGAAAACAGTCTCTTTAAGTGAGCATGAGGAGAGGGAAAAAAGTCTCTTTAAGTTAGTATGAGGAGAGGGAAAACAATCTCTTTAAGTGAGCATGAGGAGAGGGAAAACAGTCTCTTTAAGTGAGCATGAGGAGAGTGAGCATGAGGAGAGGGAAAACAGTCTCTTTAAGTGAGCATGAGGAAAGGGAAAAGTATATTACTAGAGGTAATATGATAGAAAAACACCACAGGCATTGAATACTGATGTAATCACGTCTAAAATAGACATGACTTACAGTGATAATCAGAAAACTTTAAAATAGGAAGACGACTTTTAGAACCAAGTTATAACTTTTAAAAGTCCAATGAGCATGATACACAACAAGTGTGGAGTGTAAACAGACCCATTTAAGTAAGTTGGTGATTTAATAATTGTCCAGTAAAACTATTTGTTATGTAACAACTACACGTATATTGCTATGATGTTGTCTTCCTATTCCATTGGTTCTTGATTATCAATATAGTTAAAAATTCTAAATAAGAAGGGTAACATTACTTAATATAATTCTGAATTAAAAATATGCGAGAAATTAAAGTTTTGTTCCCGCCACTTTACTATAGAAAGGATCGAAGTTGTACTTCGATTGATTGCTTCTCTATGGATTCTGATTTTCGAATCTTTGCATGCACTTTTTAACCCTTGGTCTTACCCATTTGATTAATTCAAAGTTTAAATAATAAAAGTTAAGGGGCGGGGGCTATGGATGAGTTCAAGCCATGATTTTTATACAATATTCATCCCCCCCCCCTGGCAAGTCAAACAATATTAAGCCCCCCTGGAAAGTTTCTGTCTACTCCCCTAAAAGAGTAACACCATAAGAATATGATGGAAATTATATTTTTTAGGTCAGTATTCAGATTTTTTCTGTCAAACTATGAGGATGTTTACATAATACATATATTTAAATATGTGAGAGCAGTTACAAATTTGTCAAATATTAGAATTTGAATACAAGATAAATTAGATACGAAAAAAAAGCTGAAGGTTTATCATTTGTGGAAGTATTTTTGTATATTTTGGTTGCCGCTAAGTCGAGTTAAGAGCCAAAAATGAAATAAGAAAACTTT